AAATATAGGTCTATTTTAAATTTTTTTAAAAATAGGAAATTAATAGTAGTATATGAGGAAGGGGCAAAGTGTCCTGTAGCCCCCCCCCCCNATATACTACTGGAAGGTAATTTTCGCAAGTTATACCTTTTGTTTAATGAATTTACTGAATTAGGTGATGAAATGGAAAATTTTCCTTTATTTTTTGTTTTAGTTGTATAAAAGATGTAAGCGAACTATCTTTTTAAAAGCAAACCTTTAATTTGAATTATGTTTTGGGTGCAAATAAATAATTTCGACTAAGATTAGTGCAACACAATGAGTTAGTGCACGATCTGCATAATTTTATTTTTCTCCCTGGTGGTAACTCCTGAAAAAATGTGGAAACCTGTTTATTTTAATACCTGGTCTAAGATTCAAATTGAAGTTGTGAAGCAGCAAGCTCTTTACCGGTTCCTTGATTATCCTGAGTTAAGTCGGGTATGTGTTTATTGCAAATATTTATTATCCCGAGTAAACTCGGGAGTAGCAGAATTCGTCAACACGTTTTATTTTATCACGTTTTTATTCGGCAGGAAGCAAAACAAAAAATAATAATAGTCTGCTGTGATTGGAAGTTGGCCAATATTTGTTTGGGAGTTTTGCTATTTGTGGGACTGCAGACGTGTTTTGTACAATTGTATATGCGATAGTTAATGAATTTACGTAGAAAAAGGAGTAAAAAAAAATTTCATTCTCGAGCCAAAGTGAAAGTAATGCAAATAATTTTTCAGATGATGAAGATGTGATCATATACAAAGACTAATATTTGACTTTTTTCATTTTCCCCAGATAATTTGGGATAGTAAACTGATGGTAAATTAAAGATTTTTTACACATCAAAAAATTAAAATTTCAACTTAGAACTTGGTAAGGGTACCAGTTAAAGCATATTTAATACTAAGGGTACCGGTTAAAGCATATTTAGTACTAAGGGTACCGGTTAAAGCATATTTAGTACTAAAGACAATACTGTGTAAGGCAACAGGATTAGTCTGAAACAGCAAAACTGTGACTACAAATTAACTGCTAAAAAATTTAGAATTTTTTTTATAACTTTATCATAGCATCTTTTTCATTTGTATAAATGCATTTCGTAGCACGTTTAAAATATTTTTTCTAAATAAACATGCTATTTGTATTCATAATTAAAATTGCATTTCTTAATGATTCTAGACATCCTCAGTGTTCTTTTGATTATGCTGATCCTGTAAAGAATTTCAACCGTAACCAAGTCCGAGGCCCTGTTTGCATGCAGATTGGAATCAAGGACTGTAAAGAGGCTATAGCATTGGAACTTACTGCTGGAGGAAAAGTAAATTTTGACTCTCTGTAATATAAGTTACACAGTTTCTTTTAAGACTTGCTTGTTATGAAAACACCACAATGTTTCCTTATAAGCCCATTTTTTAATTTATCACTTTCAAGGAGTGTGCTTGTTAGTTTTTAAATCATATTTGGCATTTGAATCTGGCATCTCTAAGACAAGATGTGGGATATAATTTTTTTTTCTTTTGCAGTTATTGCTACTTATTACCACTAATTTTTGTTTAATAATTTCTATATTTTTAATAAATATTTTGACTTAAATTAGAACACATGAAATTTGAATGTGGATTTTTAAATTGTTTTTTAATTTTTCTTCTAATTTTTTGTAGCTTAAAAAAATTGTTTAAGATTTAACATTATTAATCTTTCTTATATTTCACTAGTTATAAATGTCACAAAGTCAAAATATACTGAACTAACCAACTGAATGTTGATTCTTATTTTGAGTTATAATGCTTTTCTTTGAAATCACAGTTAATTTAATTTAAAATAAACTTTTGTGTCATGTCATGTGATAAAAACTCCACCTGAAGCTTTTCCCCATCTTTGTATTTTGTTCTATAAATCTGTTATTTGATAAGGAAATAATTTTTTGAAATGTCTAACTAGTATCAGTTTCGTATTTTTCAATTTTGAACAAATTTTAATACTTAAAAGAATTTAATTTTATGCAAATATGTTACTCATTTCACTGATAGAAAGAAGTGTGTCTGAACACTAATGTTTATACTAAAATTATCATAATTGCTGTCAATATGTCTAAATACTTAGGCCTGCATCTCAACCTGCAATACTAGTGGCCCTTAATAAAAAGTGGTTGTGCTCTCCTACTCTAACTTGTTAAAACTTTCTCTTTTAAACAAAGTAATTCTGAAAAAAAAACTATCTTATTATTCTTTTGCAGTAAAATTTGCTTTTAATCCACTTAGGTAGAGCTGAGCAAATTATACTCATTATTCTTTCTTTTAAAAATAAATCATACCTTTTTTAAAATCAGTCCAATTTATATATATGTAAAACTGTTTAAAAAATTGTTCTGGTTTTGTCTTTAAAAAAAAATGTGCTGACCCGCTACGAAACCTGTATAAATTTTCTAATATATTTGCATTTTAATTGTAATAAATTGGATATGAAGTTTTTGAATTTTACTCAGAAAGCCTCAAGTAATTAATGTTTTGTCTGAAGAGTTGCTATCTTGATTGTCAGATCTTATAGAATTTTTAAATTTGTTTCTCACATATTTTTAAAATTATATATTCTATTATTATGCATATTATCTACATTTTTCACATTATTATTACAACTGTATTATTGAAATTTATTCTACAAACAAAGAAAATCAATTTTACAACTTTTTTAATAATAAATTTGCATCTTGTATGTACTTTTAATATATTTGTTTACAATTGGATTTTAAGGGAATATATACTTTTAACATATATGTTTATAAATGAATTTTAAGGGAGTATGTGATTTTAATATACTCACTTACGAATGAAATTTTACGGGAGTATTTACTTTTACTATATTTGTTCCAAATGCATTATAATCACCTTAAATTTTGCATCTTCACAGCTATATAATGTGATAGTCGATGATGAAAAAGTGGGAAAACAACTGCTTAATAATGGTCAGTTGAAAAGAAGATGTACAGTTATCCCCTTAAATAAAATAGTTGGTAGGCCAATCGATAATAGAACAGTTCAGGAAGCTGAACGCTTGGTGAGTTTAAATTTTTTTTTATACCTTACTTATTTATCATATTACAGTAAAACCTCGAATATCCAAACCTGTTTCATCTGAATATTTCTGTTGACAGAGTGGATTCCAAAGTTATTTTTGTTGTTATGTTTCATAATTGTTATGTTATGTTTTTTTATTAACTCATGCTCCTATTCAATTTTTCAGGGTTGCCACAGGCTACTAAAATGCAACTATTTGCTACTATTTTCGGCCTTAGGCGACTTTTTTTGCCTGAAAAGGCTAAAAAAAAGCAACTATTTTCAGGAATAGACGACTATTGGGAGACTTTTTTACTCTTAGCGAAGTTATTTTTATACTTATACTTATTTTTCGTAGACCTACTGTTACTTTGCAATTGCTGCACAATCACTGTTATCTTAAACTTTCGTTCTGAACTCAATAGACCAATGAAAGGAAAATATAAATTAAAAAAGTTTCTTCTTTGGTTTTTTTTCAATTATTATTTTTCATTTTAAGCGATACAATTTAATAGGGGCATTTTGTACTTAATTTTGTTATAAATAGTTAGTTTTTTTTTAAATTAATTTAATGTAGGTAAGTATAATAATTTGATTATTTTTAAACCAATAAATATTCAGTTGTTTTTATTTATAAAAAAATTAAAATAAAGCTTACCTTTATTTAATTTGCTTTTATTTTTGAGAAACTGAAAACAAAGTTTTAACAAAAATTTGGCTATTAGTTAAAAAACAAAATTTTTTAAAAAAATTAAATAAAGAGTTTAGTAATGTTTGGATTCTTTGTAATAATTTAACATTAGTACTTATAGTATTTTTTTTTTTTTAAAATTTTATTAAAATTCTTTCAATACTTGTTTGTTTTATAATTTGTTAGATATAGTCAGTGTCATTTTTAAAGAAATAAATCTTTAGTCAATTTTATTTTCAAAAACGAAAATAATAATAAATAAGTAAAAATATTTTTACATTTATTCAGTACAGAATTTGACCATTAGTTAATACTATTTTATATTATTTTAAATAATTAAATAAAAGATGGTCTAATGATGTTTCAAAAACATGGGTTTTTTTCTCCACTTTTTTTAATGCATGTATGTAAAATATTTTGTTACAGTATTATTATTTTTAAACCAATAAATCTTAAATCATTTTTAATTTAAGAAGAATGAAATAAATCTTGGGTTTGCTTTTACTTTGACTTCTTTATTATTTTAATTGAAAAAATTAAGCAATGATATTGATATTATAGTAGAATATGTTTAGAATTAATATTTTCTTTTGTAATAGATTTATTCCTTTTTATTTATTTTTGATTGATTTCCCATAGATAATTTCTGAACATATGCTAAATCGCGATGTCTAATGGACGATGTATCACGATTTAAAACTGACATCAACCAGTCCTTATCATAGTATTTGACAATTAAGCTACAATTTTAATTATTTGGCTACTATTTTTGATAAATTTTTGTTCCTGTTCAGGCAACTATTTTCATAGTTTTAGGCAGCTATTTTTCATGCTTGAGGCTACTAAAATCAACTATTTTTGTTCATTTTTTACTGTGGCAACCTTGATTTTTGTTAAAAACTTTTTTTAAACTAATTTAATAATAAAATGTCATAAATTAGCTTACATGAGACTGTCAAAATAAAAAACACTACCATATGTCTACATAAAATCTAGTAACAAACAAACATTTTGTCAGCAGAAGTTTGTTCTATTGATTTATCTAAAAAAAAATTTTGAAAATTGTAATTTACGTTATAACATTTGTCTTTCTTGTGTAGTTTAATTTGATTGTCATGGCTTCTACTTCTAACAAAAAAAAAAGTGCTATGTTATCAGAGGGGCAGGAAAAATATAATATGATAATGTAAATTTAGTCAGGAGAGTCTTACAAAGGAATCAAGGAAATCGACTTCTAAGTTCGGTCTGAAATCGTTTATTGATTCTAAAACAGTGACCGCTTTGTACAAATGTATATAAGAAAAAAAGGGTACCTGCTATAGAAAAATCTACTACAAAGCAAAAATTCAACATAGAGATTTTTAGCATTTTTTATGAAATTTTGTTTTAGTTTTCATTAGCATTTCATAGCATTGACAGTTGAAAGAAAATAGTTGTCAATTCACTTTTCTCGAAATTTATCACTTTATTGTGAAATACTTGTGCCGTTTTTTCAATTACATGTCATTACTATTAAGGGGACTGAATTTTAAAATAAAATATCTTTATACCTATTTGACTGGGAAAAAAAAACGTTTACTAATATAGTTCTATTAAATAAAAATACTGTATTATTAACCCCTTGCCTGGCAAGGAATATTTCGATATGCACCCACTCCCCCTAGTTAGTTCCACAGGTTTCTACAGAGCCAACCATAGTTTTAGTGTGCATTGGAGAAAGTGAAAAGGCACACTTAACAGGGTTGCCACAGGCGACTAAAATGCGACTATTTGCTACTGTTTTCAGCCTTTGGTTTGTTTTCCACTTTCGTTTTTTTTATTTTTAACAAAACAATAAATCTTAAATTATTTTTAATTCAAGAAAAATGAAATAAAGCTTGGGGTCATAATAGAATATGTTTAGAATTAATATTTTCTTTCATAATAGATTTATTCCTTTTTATTAATTTTTGATTGATTGAAAGATTTCCCATAGGCAATTTTTGAACATATGCTAAATCGCGATACATCACTTTAACGCGATGTCTAACTGACGATGTATCACAATTTAAAATTTCTGACATCACCCAGTCCTAGTCATAGTATTTTTCAATTAAGCTATAATTTTAGTTATTTGATAGATTTTTGTTCCTGTTCATGCAACTATTTTCATTGTTTTAGGCAATTATTTTCATACTTGAGGCTACTAAAAGCAACTATTTGGTTCATTTTTTACTGTGGCAACCTTGACTTAACAATCTAAAAACTATTTACTTTTATTGCAAAAAAAAAAATATAAGAAAACAAATTACAAAATTTAAAGTATAACAGTATAATAATAAAAGATTGATATTCACAGTCAGAACCCTCTTCATCTGAAGTGATATTATATTCCGAAGTTTCTGACCCCGAAAATGAAAGAAAATGATTATCTAATTCATTCTCAGACATATTTGTACATAAAATAAAAACTTTATTTCACACGGAGACAAAAATGTCGCAAAGCGAAAGGAAAGTAAAAAAGCATGTATTACTCAAAAGAAACACAAGCAATAACTGCACAACTGAGATTTATTTTCTAAAAACTTCTTCTATCCTTCTCGTCTGAAATCCTTTGAAAACACTCTCTCAAGGTCATTTTATTACTTCTCAAAACTGGGAGTAGTTTTATTGATAGCAGCACGAAGCAAGCATTGCACAATCAGGGGTCTGTCCAGGGCATATTTACTACCGTTTATTGGTACCTTCGCAAATTCAACTATAGAAAAAAACGGTAGTTTCACAAAATGCTTTAAAAAAAGCAAGTTCTAAGATTCTCCACCACTTAAAATTTTGTTTTTGTATTTCCATAAAAAGCTATAAATCCCAGAGTTTTTTTTAAAAATGAAATTTGGTTTAAAAAAAGCAAGTTCTAAGATTCTCCGCCACTTAAAATTTTGTTTTTGTATTTCCATACAAAGCTATAAATCCCAGAGTTTTTTTTAAAAATGAAATTTGGTTTAAAAAAAGCAAGTTCTAAGATTCTCCGCCACTTAAAATTTTGTTTTTGTATTTCCATACAAAGCTATAAATCCCAGAGTTTTTTTTAAAAATGAAATTTGGTTTAAAAAAAGCAAGTTCTAAGATTCTCCGCCACTTAAAATTTTGTTTTTGTATTTCCATACAAAGCTATAAATCCCAGAGTTTTTTTTAAAAATGAAATTTGGTTTAAAAAAAGCAAGTTCTAAGATTCTCCGCCACTTAAAATTTTGTTTTTGTATTTCCATACAAAGCTATAAATCCCAGAGTTTTTTTTAAAAATGAAATTTGGTTTAAAAAAAGCAANAATATTTTGTTTTTGATTGATTAGATATCATTCTAATACTAAAACATTATTGCCCGAAAAATAATGTTATTTAATTTCTGCTTCTTAGATTCAGATCATTTTAATCTCTGTTTACCTTGGGGGTCTATTATACGGAAAAATCGATTATCCGGACTTCGGAAAGTCCCGCCGATTCCGGATACGCGACTTTCCAATGTATAGAAAAAACGGTAGTTTCACAAAATACTTTAAAAAAAGCAAGTTCTAAGATTCTCCGCCACTTAAAATTTTGTTTTTGTATTTCCATAAAAAGCTATAAATCCCAGAGTTTTTTTTTAAAATGAAACAACGAGGTTCTCTATCTATAAACTATATTGGAAGTCAAAATGCGAACATCAGTCTAAACATTCGAACATTATCTTTACAACAAATTTATTCTAACAGACCTTTATTTTTTTATGAAATTTTTTTTTCCCTATGAAACTTTTCCTGTATTACCTAGTCGAAAATGTTCCCCTAATGAAAATAACTTTTAATTCTAGAACTGTTAAATGCTAGTTGAAATTTAACTATGGACAATGGATTTTGAATACAATTTTAAGCTCGAAATTTAACAATAGCCAAATTATTTTTATTATATGGGGAAAAATATATAAAAATTTTCCAGTCATAAATGATTTTTATTTGTAGTGTAGTAATTTTTTAAAAATAATCTCTTATTTTACATTGGTGTTGATTTTTTAATGTAACTTTCAATTTTCACATTATGTCTAAATTTTCACAAAATAGGCCCTTGATAGTGCATACTTCGGAAAGGCATATACATACGTCAGGGGCATTTAACGCATCGGCTTAGCGGAATGTATATAAGAGCTGCTACAGTCAAGGGGTTAAGGTATCTCTATTTCCAGAGGAAAATAAAATATAAAACAATGTTAAGTTTATAATCCGATATTTTGATTCTCTAAATCAGGTCTGGTTCCATTAATTCTTATGATCCAGGCTCTGCTGTTGCTGAAGAATATATTTTTTAAAAATATCTTCCTCTGTCAAATACTTTTTTATTGCTTAGGTTGGAAGAAATAATGTTGCGACTGCACTGTCTAGAGTTTTATATGATAATGAGTTAAGACCAGCAATGGAATATGTTTTTGGGGGCACCTTCATTTGTCCATCTATGGAGCCTGCACAAAAGGTAACCTTCGATAAGAATATAAGGAAAAAATGTGTTACTTTAGAAGGAGATGTTTTTGAACCCTCTGGAACTCTATCTGGGGGTAAGTAAAAATATTTGTGCATTTTCATGGTTAGAATATAACCAGTTTTTCTTACTTTTCATTCATAAACCCAGGTTTTATTTGTCCAGAAATGCATCATCTATGCCAGGGGTCGCCAAACTTTTTTGATCATCGACCCCTATATAATTTTTCGAAATCTCCNTAGATCAGAAATGCACAATTTATGGCCCATGGATCAGAAGAGATTCTCAAAGCCTTTTAACTTGATCCTTGTTTTGTATTTAACACTAATAAACATACCAACACTTAATATATACCTATTTCTACCATATCCGGTCAAATGACCGGAAGGAAGTAAACTAAAAAAACTTTATTATAATAAAACAAAATTGTATATTGCCAATTTTTATGTATCACAAAGAATAAGAATTTTTAACTCAACGTATTTTTTACATATACAGGGTGTTTCCATTGTGCATCTTCTAATTGTAATTATATCTATAACTCTTATAATTATTCTTATATTTATAAGAATATATAATTCTTATAAGAATTATAATTGTTGTAATTATTTTTATAATTAATATTATTTCTTCTAAGAACTTGAGCTGTCTTGATTGTTTCAACATTTTTCTGTGTAAAAACTAACAGTTAATTAGAAATGAAGTAAAGCTATCAAAATAAAATATAAGCTACTTACCAAGACATTTAGCTTTTGTCACTTTTTCTTACACAAAAATACTAATCTGAAATTTTAGGTACTTTCTTGAAATTTGAATTCACAGTTATTCTGATTGAACTAACTACACAACAGTCTTTGCAGAAATGTGCAACTAATCTAATGCTATAGGTTGAACATGCATTGCATTGTAATTTCTGATCCGATAGCCTTCTAAAGCAATAAATTGTTGTCCCGGTTGTGGTAGATATAGGTATACCACAAGTATTCAAAAAAAATGGAATATTGGAAAAACTATGAATTGCCAATGAAAATGCAATTTTATCCCAAAACCAAGAATTGTGAGGGAATTTGACACCTTATCAAATTGCAGGATTTTAATCTTCTGTTTTCAGTACCATAGTTTGTGGTTACACAATAGAGAATTAAGAAAATAATAATAATAATTATCAGAGTTTTACCAGACTGGCCTCTACTAGTGATAGTACTATATTTCATAAGCTACTATTTCGCATTTTTTGAGTTTTGCCGATTGGCTGTCCGAGTTAAGGAACTTGAAACTTATGTCTTGAGAGTATTGACATGTTTTTTTTTTATTTTTTATAATCCACTTTTTCTCAATTCTTGTTACCTTTGATTTTTTGTGACAAATTATTGCTTTATAATTTTGGATAAATATTTTAATTATTATGAACAGATTTTTTTATTGTTTGCTATGTTTGNTTCTGATTTCCGGATAACGGGTTCTGTACTAAATTATGAACAGATTTTTTTTTATTGTTTGCTATGTTTGTTCATCTGATATCTAATTAAGGCTCATTATTTTTTAATTGAATAAATTTTCATTCCTTAAAGGTGGGGTATTATTTGCATGTTTTGCCTGAAGCGGAATAACATCCGCTTTCTTTAAATCTTGTCTGTTTTTATTAATAAATAAAAACAGAAGATTCTTTAATTATGAAGCATTGCTTATTAATGTAAGCATACAATTACTTATTATTGAAAACATCGGATTATTTTCAAAAGCATATTGCAGCTTTGTCTTTTTATAAGTGATATGTTTCTGATTCCACCACATTTAAATTTTTTTTTCCCCATTCACTCAATAAGTTAGTTCTTCTCTTTAATGAATTTTATAAAGATTTTTTTCTTTTTAATTCATTTGATCGTGATTCTTGCAGATATTTAACTAAGTTTATTCCTAAATAAGTTTCTATAAAGGTGTGACATTCTTTATTGATCGGTAATTTAAATGTAAATCATAGTTCAAAAACAGGGTTCCCACACTCCTTAAAAGTCCTTAAAAACTGCTTAGTTTTTATTTTGAAAATTAAGGGCCTTTAAAAGTACTTAATTTTAATTCAAGGTTCTTAAAAGTCCTTAATTTCTAGTATCACTAGTTGGTTGGAAAAAAATTTTATGTCATAGAAAAATATCCACAGTTAAAAAGTACATCTTTCACCTAGAATGAGATCCTGCATCGAGGGTAGAACATTTTGAATGCATGTGAGGGTAAGGGTTACAAGCAAGTGGAAGAAAACACACTCTTCTTGTTTTTATTTTATTATAAATTTTTTTCATTAAAATATTTTTTTCTTTCTGGATCATTCTGAAAGAAAAAAATTTAGTGTGGTGAGAGGGGAGCGTGATACTACCAGTTGGTAGAGGTCTTGACTTATTTTTAGACAGTACTTAGATACTTTATCAGCTGAAGACCTGCATTGACCTTCTTCATCCATAGGAATCGAGAAATTCAATTCTTCTGATAGCACACGTGGTAGCTTTGATACTTCATTCAAATGTGAAATTGTTAGAAATGCCAAGAAAGTGTGTTTTTAATAATTTATAGGCACTTGATGAAAAATATAAGGAATGGCTAACAGCATATAGTGATCGTCACAAGGCAAAGTGTATTTCTTCATTGTGTCATATTTTCTTCTGAAGTTCAATTTTATAAATGACTCCATTTTTTAATATTAAGGATATTACGAATATTCGGCGAAGTATCATTTTAATCAGGAAAGTCATTTTTGTCGTTTTATCATCGACCCTTTTTGTTTTGAAAAGAGTGAAATGTTTGTTTTCTTTTTTCACTTTTGCTGGGGTTTTTTTTAAAAAAGCGCTGCATTTCAACAGCGTTTCTGATATATTTTATCTCCACTTTTCCTTTTAAAGTTATACAGATAATTGGATAACCAGTAAAATAGAAGATTGATTTTCTACGTTGCATGTTCTGTTTTAAGAATTTAGGAAAATTTTCTGTTTCTCTTTTGCTTTTTTGATTAATTGTGTTTTTTAAAATTTTGATAGCATATTTTAAAGAGCCTTCTTTTTCGTCATTTTTTCTAAAGATCCGGTTGTGAGAAACACTCAAAGTATAATCTGCAACGTTAAATTTTTCTTGTAAAAAATGAGAACGATTTCTTGTTTTTATTTCTGTTTGGCTTCCTCATTTTTTTTTAAAAAACCACAAAAACTCTTGTTTTTGTTATGATGCAGCAATTTTCAGGAGCACTACTCTTAGACATTTTTAAATCGTTGTATCACGAATTATTGACTTAACGCACATATCGGCAGGCCGATATGATAACTTTTATTCTTGGCGAAGCATCAGGAATCTGATTTAAGACGATGCTCGTGGTTTAACGTGCGAGGATTCTTGCCTATGCTAACGCTATCACCGCACTGACGAAGACTAGTTTGATTTCGTCTAGCTGCGAAGACGTTCGTTAAATTTTGAGCTACAAAGATGATGTTCGTTTCGTGATATTGAATAACCAAGAGCGAGGATCAGCATTGAAATATAGAACATGATGCATAGTTACTTTATGCACCATTTTTGACCTTTGGATTTTACGTTTCTTGAAGATTATTTTCCGCAGGAGTTATTTTGCGATTGCTGTGCGTTTTATTTCGACATGATACAACATTTCAAGTAAATTATTTTCAGTGAGACTTTTGCTAGTTAGTGATCGTTGTGCATTATTTCGTCACTTTTTTTTTCTGTCTGGATTTAACATAGTCAGTTATTTTCAGCAGACCTACTGTTACTTGGCGATTGTTGCGCAATTGCTGTTATCTTAAATTTTCGTTCTGAACTTAATATATTAAAGAAAATAAGTTTAAAAAAAAGATTCTTTATTGATCTTTTTAAAAGTGATAAAATTTAATATTTTATATATTTTGTATTTAAATAATTTATACTTTGTGATAAAAAGTTTTTTTTAAAATTTATTTAATTCACATAAATATAATAATTTGATAGAATTCGATTAGTTTTTAAACCAACAAATCTTCAGTCGCTTTTAGTTTAAAAACAATTGAAACAAAGCCTACATTTAATTAATTTACTTTTATTTTTGAGGAAATTAAAACAGAGTTTGTGTTCTTTCTTTTCTTTTTTTAATTTGGCTGTTAGTTAAAATTACTAAATTTTTTTAAATTAAATAAAAAGTTAAGTAATGTTTTAACGCTTTTCAATAATTTGACAATAGTGCTCTTAAATATAGAATATTTTTTTTATTTTTTTAAAAATTCCTTCAATATGTGTTCTTTTAATAATTTGTTAGATAGTCACTTTTATTTTTAAACATTTAAATTAGTCTATTTCATTTTCAAATAGGAAAATAATAATAAATAAATAAAGAAACTTACATGTATTTTTACATTAAAACCGTTTGACCATTAGTCAATACAACTTTTTTATTTTAAATAATTAATTAACAAAAGCCTAACGATGTTTAAAACGCAAATTTTTTTTCAACAAATAGTTTTTAAAATGTTTTTTTCTAAGTGGACATTTCTTTTTTTTTTTTTTTTTAATTTGTAATGTATGTAAAATATTTTGTAACAGTTTTATTACTATTTTTAAAAAATATAAGTCATTTTTAACTTTAAAAAATTTAAAATAAAGTTTGTGTTTGTTTTTACTTAAGACTAGCCAATCTTTAAGACAGTCTTAAGTCAATCCATCTCTATTTTAATTGAAAAAATTAAGCAATGCTATTGATGATATTAGAAGCAATTTTTTTTAGAATTAACATTTTCTTTTGTTATAGATTTATTTCTTTTATTTATTTTTGATCGATTTAAAGATTTCTGATTGATAAATTTCAAACGTATGTTAAATTGCGATACATCGTGAAGTATGACTGACGATCTATCACGCTATAAAATTTCTTACAGCGCCCCTGGCCTATTTTTACATAAAAAATATTGATTCTTGAGGATTTTTTTATAAAAATGTTATTTGATCACTGGGTAGGCAGTCACTATTCGACCACTAGATCACTATTCATTATTCCCTATTTTATAATAATAGTAATATATATATATATATAATCCATATTTGCATCCAATTTTCATTACCTTTGATTTATTTGACAAATTATTGTTTTATAATTTCAGACAATACTTTAATTATTACAAAATTTTTTTTTTTATCGTTGATTATTTTAGTTCCTTCAATATCTATACAAGACGCAATACTTTTTAATTGAATAAATTCTAATTCCTCAAACGTGCAGTATTGCTTATCAGTGTAAGCATACAATTTTTTATAACTAAAAGCAGACTATTTTTTAAAGATTTTTATCTCCTTTTATAAATGATGTTCCTGATTCCACTATGTTTTGTTGTTTTTTTCCTCTTCATTCACAATAAATTTTGTACTGAATTATTTCATTATATTTTCAATTTTTAGATATGGAATTTTTTCATTTTTATTTCAATTGATCATTACATCCTGCCTTGTCCTGTGTTTCAATATTTATGTTAGCTCTTATTTTAACAATCATTTCTGTTTCTCAGCTCTTAATTGATAAGTTTTCCTTGTACTTTATTTATTTCTTTTTTCCTGATTGTTAGGTACTAAAGATATTCTGATTTTAATCATTAAGTTTTTATATTTTGTGATTTTAATAAATCTTTAGCTTATTATAATTAGGTTTTACTTAGTTTAAAATATTTGTCTTTACCTCAATAAAGTTATATTTGTTAGTTCCTTTTTGCCTTGGTTTAATATTAATCACTCAAAATAATATTTTTATTAATTTAATGAATTTACCATCTTAATTTATATATTTCTATCTGTTTACCCAGTTTTTTTCTATTTTTAAAATAGAAAATCTTGTTTAATCTGCATTCTTTGAGTTTTTCTTTACATTCTTAAAAGCTTGCGTGAGGTGATTAAATGCAATTTAATTTTAATTAAATACAGATTATTTGTATTAAACATTTCTTTATTTAGTTTTTTTTTAAAGGATGACTGAGTTGAAGAAAAGCTATTCCATTTTTTAATCTATTATTATTAATCTATAATGTTTTATTTGATGATAAATTATTGATCATTATGTCATTTTTAAGGTCCTTAATTCTAGAAAAAAAGTCCTTAGTTTTTTTGATAAAAGTCCTTAAAAGTGCTTAATTTTTGCTTTGATAAAAGAGTGGAAACCCTGAAAAATGATATGAATAGTACGTAAATTGATGTCTTGTTATCTGGTATAAACTTTTCCTTGTTTTTCAGTTTTTGTCTCAATCACCCCTGTGTATTATGTTAGTAATGTACAAATTTGTATTTTGTACAATAATAAAAGTTACCCTTAAAAAAAATAATTTATTAAGTTTCTTTTTTATTTTTTCCAAACCTATAAAGTTTCTAATAATTTTCACTGTAACTATATGTTTAGATTTATTTATCTTAATTTTTATGTGCACCCAAGCGAACTATTTTATTTAACATGTTTTAGTAATATCTTTGAAATAGAATTTCAGCGCACTCTATATTTTTATGCTTATATTATGTTCACCAGTTTCTTATCTTTTCATATTTTCTAGTTTTGCTGTCAACCATCAGAAGCTAAATGTGCTTCTCTGATCTCAATGTTTATATAATTAGAATCAGGAAAAAAATTAATATAACATGATTTAAATAACTTAATCTTTTTTTAAAAAAAACCCGTTGATTTTAATGAGTTGATACAATTTTGTTTATAAATTTTAATTATTTTATTTATGAGCTTCCACTTTAGATAGTGAGTTTTCTTATTGTCTTATTTCGCTGAAAGCTTCATCTGCAGAAATGGATGATGAAAGATATATTTCAAGATATACTTATAAAAAAAAGAAGGAAGTAAAAGTAGATGTTAGAGTTGGCAGGAAACGTTTAACATAGCAATGAACATATTTCAGTTATACCCACTTAAAACTTATTAAATACATAGTTAGTATATATCAATGATGAAAAAAGACTTGTTTTGCCTAGAGAAACGTAGAATATTTTTTTCTTATTAATGTATTCTGATCGGAACTAATTTGCTTTTCATTGGACATCTAACTGGCAAATTGCTTTCCTGTTTTTAAATTTTATGATTTTTTATCTTGAATAAAAATAACCATGCTTTTGTTTTTTCAGTAATTTGTTTGTAATTATCATAGAATAATTTTAAACATTTAAGTTCGAAATGTTAATTATTTTGGCTATTATTGTTTTTAAATAATATTAAGTATTATTAATACATTTTAGCAAATGATTTGGTTGGTAAATATGAAAAATAAAAATATAAAAAACTAATTTTAAATTTAAAAAAACTTATTTAAATCAAATAAATGTGATTTTTTTCTTTAAAAAAAAAACATTGTTTGCCAACTCTATTTGAAACCATTGCAATTAAATTCTAATAATTTTAATTGGTGATTTTTTATACCGTGTGAATCTCACTGACCTCAATCACTTATTTTACTTTTTGTAGGTTCTATGGGAAATAGAGGGAAAATGTTGGCTGACTTGGTCAAAATACCTGATCTCAAAAAAGCAATCAATGATAAGGAAAACCATCTATCTCAACTGCAAAATCAAATTCAACACATCAAGCATTTAAAGGATAGGTAATATTTTTCTGTTTCAATTTAAATTTAACTTGGAAATGACATCTTTAAATCTTCTTGGAAATGACATCAAGGTAGAAAATTATATATTCTTAGAATTGGAAGAAAATATCTGAGATATATTATTCTATGGGTCTATTTAATTTTTTATAAATTAAAAAATAAAATGTTTTAATAAATGCCGGATTTAAAAATTATCAGTTTACTTTGATGTATATGTTTTAATGTAACTAAACATATATCACAAATTTAAAGAAGAAAAAAAAATTAGAAATTTGTGATAATATAAAATTTAGTTTATTGGAATCATAATATTTGGAATATTTATTCAAAGTAAAATTTGATGTTATTAAATTATTTATTTATCATTAATTTATTATTAGTGGGGGTTACAAATTGGCCAAACAAGCTTTTTTTTTTTTCTTTTTTCATTTGTCTTTTTCTATAGCATTGAAATAAAAGCTTGTGAAAATTTTTAAAAATTTTTAATGTTGTAACAATAATAAAACTTCGAGTTTTTATTTATTTATTTTTTGCTATTTTTTTAAAGAAAATTGCTTTAAATATTTACCAATAATGTTTGAAATTTAGTTATTTTTCTACTTTAAAGGTATGATTCAATGAATCAGCAGTATGAATTGAAAGAAAATGAAGCTCAATTACTGAAGTCCAAAATTGAGCAAAGTAATTTCCACAAGCAAATTGAAGAGGTTGCAAAACTCAAACAGACTTTAGGTAAAACATTTTGCTTGCTCAATTTTATAAATTTCATTATTTTTAAAACTTGTAAGCTGTTTTTATATTATTAGTAAAAATTTTTTCATATTTTGCTACCATTTCATAGCTTTCAACTTGTTGAAAACAAAAATAGGAACACAAAGCGTGATGAGCCAATTAATTGTGACAGAAAACCCTTAAATTTTAAGTGCAAAAAATCAATATCAAAATATCAATTTATAAACCATACATCAGGGTTCGTATCATTTTTTAAAAGGTGGTTATTTTTGATTTTCGTTTTTTAGAAGCCTTTAAAGTGCTTCTTTCATTGGGTGTTTTTCAAAAGTGCTTAATTTTCTTTCTTCCAAAATGAAATTTTTTCTTTACCATATCAATTTTTGCCTAGAATTACACAATAAGCGTGATTTTCTCATTGTTCTATTCAATGTTTTTCACAGTTCATTCAACCACAATCCATTTTGACATACCATTTGTCTGTACTGTATAAAGGCGCTAATCCTTTTAAATGGTTAATGAAATACTTACGAGGCCGCTTGTGTGTATACTGAGCTAGATTGAATGGGAAGGATTCTTGCACTCTCATGAGCAACTTAGCAGCATTTTTCAAGATTCTCAATTTCAGGCTCCATTTTCCACCCTCTGAAATCGAACTGAAAAACCCCTCGAATTTTGTTAAGCACGGGAACCAACTGAACAGTGCCAATTCCCCCCATAACAGTAAAAGAAAATTTTATTTCTCTTGTTAATTTCATTGTTAGCGAAGCACTATCGTCTTCGTCATTGGCATGCAAATGACCTTCTAGGGCTCTTCTATCTATACACCAGTACCGTAATCCTTGAATTTAACTTGGGGATTATTCACTAATTATGTATTTTCATGTGCGTCTTTAGAGTAGTAAAGGATCTCAAAGTTTCATCACAAAATTTCCATGACCCTTTTATTCATTTAATTCATGGAGATTTCAATTCCTAAGATTCTTTATTTGAGGGACTATCCCCGAATGGCATAAAACTTTTGTAAATTTTTATTATACTACTTAAGCTAACACTAACGTACATTTGTAATATGAATTTATTAATGTTTTCTTAGTTTGCTTAAGTTAAGTTAGTTTGCTTAGTTAGAATTTAGAATTATATTTTTTTGCACAATTAATTAAATTAATTATTAATTTAAACAATAGAATGAGCCACTCAATATTGAATATATTTAAAATTATGTATAAATTGTTTTTATGGTGTCTCATAAAAGCAAGAAAAAGAGTTCTTTGTCAGAAACTAGTTATTTATCATGTAAAGTTTTTTAAAATTATTTTGCAATTTGTTAATGTATATATGAAGAACTTTCAACAATAAGAAGACATTTTTTTTTATGAGTGCGCACATCCTAATTATATTTTTATAAAGTGCTTAAAAGTTCTTAATAAGTACTTACTTTTTGTTGAAAAATATGGTTATATCCTGGGTTGAAAGAAAATCAGATAAGAAATGAAAGGACGCTAGAGTACCAAAAAATCTGAACATTTTGACCTAAAATCATATTTTTGGAACAAAGATAAAAAAGAAGTCTAAAACAAATCCGATTTAATCAGAACAGTTGGAAGCTATGCCATTTTTTCTTCCTTCAACTTTCCAGTTTTAATCTCTTTTTTTGTTTCATATCAGACGAACAAATATCTTTGTTGGCTTCCTGCAAAGAGAAGCAAAAAAGTGCTGAAAAGCTCATCAAAGAGTTGGAGGTCAAAACATCTAAAACTGCTCGTGAAAACAAAGTGAAAGAGGCTGAGAAAGCTGTTGCTGTTTGCAAAAGGAAAGCTGCTGCATCTCTCGAAAAATATAATGAATTTGAAGCTGTGAGTCTTTTTTTTTTATTCATTACACTCTTTTCTTTGTTCCCCACTTTAACTTTATTTGTAATTTTTTAGCCAGGTACACTTTCACCACTGAATTTCAAAAGTAAAAACTGGCTTTTATTACTGTTAAAAAGCAACTAAGAACAATCCTGAGTTCAGTTTAGGATCTACTTTGAAATTTCTAATTTTGTGTCGATATGCTATATCTATATCCTTATTTCCTTTATAGGAAACTTATCAATCAATGCGTGTTACAAAAAGGATAAAATAATGCTGGAGAAAGTATGCCTAAAAAATTTACTTATGTAAATTATTTAAAATCTTAATGAAAAGTGATTTCAGATAAACGTAGAGTAAACTATGAAATTTCTAATGCTAAATTTTTTTTAAGACATAAAAATGCCAAAAAAGTATGGCAGGATCACGCAGACAGTGGAGACACAATCATGCAATAACTTGTTTACATTTTGATATTTAGGAAACATTTCAGCATTTGAAGCTTCATGGCTTACTCTAGGTTCACCTGAACTCATTTTTATCCAAACTTCAAATTTTAAAATACTAATTGAGGTGTAATAGCAGTTGCCAGCATAGTGTCCTCCGAATTATGGAGCAGAAACTTAAACCCTCAACTAGCACATTGTACACAAAAACTGAGAACTACACAAAGGAATAAAGAAAGATGTTTACTTGAAATTACTAAAAACGTTATTGAGGGAATTATTATGAAAAGAAAAACCTTCATCCTGCTGTGAATTGATAATGAAAGGGTTAAAGATGAGGATGATGAATTTAAATATGTAATGATTTTGTAATTTGACGCCGGTGGCTGAGTGGTAGTGCTTCACACCTCCGTGCCACAGGTCCTGGGTTCGATCCCCGGTCCGCGCAATGTTGACTCAGCCTTTCATCCCTTCAGTGGGTCGATAAATGAATAGCATGCTTGGGAACTAAACACTGGGGGTTTTCGCGTTCGGCTGACCACCTAACCGGAACATCTGCGTCTGCACCTCAGAGCCCAAGGTCAAGAAAACTGAGAAGGGCACAGTAGGCCTTGGCCTGGACTTTCGCGCCACTGAGTTTATTTTTAGATTTTGTAATTTATATTAGAATAATATAGGTACCTCTTTTTTGGTGCGTGCCTAATATTTAAAAGTAATGGCTTTCATTGCTATATAACTGTTAATAATTAAAATTTGGAATTAGCAAACATTATTATTTAATGTTTGCTATTATTATGAAATGTTTGCATCATATTTGAAAAATATATAATAAGATTTTATTAAAAAAAATTTTTGTTACCATGTTAATTTTTTAAAAAAATTTTGAAAATTAAATACACTAATATAACAATGACAAGAATAATTTATGCACCAATTATTCCAACAAGTTTCTATATTATATAAGTTTCTGTATTCAAGCAGTAGCGCATAAAAAGAATGTTATTATGGTTTGGTTATTCATTTTAAATTGTTTTGTTCAAAAATGTGTAACTAACCATTATGGCAACATTATTATTAGCAAATATTATTATTGAATATTTGATAATATTAAGAAACCTTTTCATTACATAGAAAAAATACAATGAGATTTTATTATATATTTTTCATTGCTCACAATATAGCAATAACAAGAATAATTGCTGCATCAATTATTCCAGTAAGTTTCTACATTTTATAAATTTCTGTACTCAGACAGTAGCACAAGAAAAAAATGTTATTATGGTTTGGTTGTTCGTTTTAAGTTGTATTGTTCAAAAATGTTTAACAAACCATTATGGCAACATATTATACGGTAGATAACCTTCTTAAGATATCTTAAAAATCAAATTTCTGTTGGGTGCAAGATATGAAACCAGACAATGTCTAATGGCTATGCATTTGAACCAAAGAATTATATTTAAAAGTAAAATTTCATGAGCAACCAACTAATATTTATGCAAACTATTTGTTTTTTCAAATATTTATCGCAATGGCATTCATCACCTTATTGCATATAGAGGTGAAAAAGATTTTATTGCTAACCAGAATGGAGTTTCTGTTTTTAATCTATGAACATAAAGTGGATAGGAATCCTATACTTTTACATAGAGTTTGAAATGAGGACCCCTTTTATTTCTTTTCTCACAGAACGTTTTTTTTTCCAACCAAATTTCTTCCTCCGTACCATGATGCCACTCTTCAGTCATGATGACTGAAATCAGTCTTAAGAAAAGATATGTGAACTAAATTCCATTATCCAATCAATGTTTTTTTGTTTTGTTTTTTAATTTGTTTTGTAAATTAAGTCATAAAAAAAATTAAAAAAAAATTTTTTCCCCTTTTTTTTGAAGAAACGATTATTTTCTGTCAAATAGAAAATTTCACTTTTTATGAATACATTATTTTTCATAATTATTGAAAAATGGTCGAGACATCACACATGGAAAAATGGGATTGACTTAACTTCAACAGCAGCTTATATAAGCAAAATTTGTGTTATTGAATCTGAATATGCTGGAGTTACCATTCCCTCTCAACATTTTGAGATACTGTACAAAGTTAATATAAGGCTATTTTAGGATAAAACATCAATGATGATAAAGTGAAAAATAAGTAGGCGATATGAATGGCTTCAAGAAAAAATTAATGGTGCAATTGAGTGATAGGAGTAAAGAAGATCTATGAGGTTAACTGTTATCTTCGTTTTGTTTGCTGTAAAGAATAAACAAGTAAAATAAAGAAAAAATAAGTCTTTTTTTTATAGAAAAAATAATAAAAATGCTGTTATAGTATGTGGACCATTCTCATGCAAAAAGTTAGCTATAAATTTCCAAAAAAGTCTGCTAAATAATGCTAGACTGTGTTAATCAGTTAAACTGTAAGTTCAGTCTTGCACCCATGCTCAGAACAAGTTTTTTATTTTATTTATTTTTTTGTCAGATTTTTTCCTGGGAACAAATTTATTGTTTTAGTAGTAAAGAATATTAAGTAAATAAAATACATGGACGAGATCTAGTGGATATGATGAATTTTTTTAATGCGTTCATGTGGTGAAAAAAAAAATTCAGTTTGTTTGACCAAATGGGAAACATTAGCTTGGATTTAGCATAAAGTTAAGTGAGTTGCTCACCACAGTTTTTAATTATAAAGTAGTGCTCATAATGTAATATAATGCAGAGATGATTGTGCTCCGGAAAAAATACGGATTTATGGATTTTTTTATATTCCCGATCCGTAAGTTTCCGAAAATCCTAGGTCCAGAAGTTTCAAGAAATCATCAATTACATTTATGTATAAAAATTCTTGTATATTTTATTTCGAAATATTAGAACTAAAATTTATACTTGGCATATTTTTCATTTGTTAATACTTTTTCTGGTAGAATAATAAATGTGATTAGAGATAAAAGTAAACTTATTCATAATTATTCATTTAAATTATGCTGCATATAATTTTATTTAAAATTTCATGTTGGGAAAATATCAATGACTTAAATTTATAAAGACATTAATCAGGGTGGCCACCCACCTGGAAAACCTTGAAAACCTGGAATTATCAGGGAATTCTTTTATACGGGAGAAAACCTGAAAAAATCAGGGAATTTTCAAGAAAAGCTGGAAATTTTTGCTTCGATATTTTTTCAATTTCTCTAATTTAAATTATTTACTAATTTTCTTAATTTAAATTATTTTATCCATTATATCCACTTTTTTTAAACTGAAATGTATCGCGAAATATCATCAACTTAACGATAATTTGCTGGCATCAAAATTTGCTCCATTATAACCCTGTTAAACTAGAATCCTCCATTATAACCCTGTTAATTCGCCCATGGTTGCTAAACAAATGTAGAAACATTTCATCTCTAAGGAGACTATGAGACTGCAATTTAAGAAAGGTAAAGATTGTGGTAGAGGTGGAAGAAGGGGTTAGGATATTTGCTTCTGTTTTTAATTTCTGTCCGTGGGCTGAATCCATTTATAGTTTAAGTTTGTTTCGATGCTTTAGTGGTAATTTTTTTCTATTTTGACAAAATGATTCAAACTGTTGTTGTATTTTTAGCTATAAAATTCTTCAAAAATTAGTTGGTTATAATTTAATAATAATTGATTTTATATCGCACTCTTTTTCTGGAAGCTTTTGTACTCCCATTAAAAGAAATCTGTAAATTATTTTTTCTCAGTAAACCAACCAATCACACATTTTTTTACAATCACTAACAGCAACGTTTGTCGACAAATTGTTACAATTGTTGCATTAATACTATTTTTCTCTATTTTATTTTACCTATTATAACATATTTTAATTTAAAAAAAATTTTTTAATAACTAACTATATATTAATTTTTAATTTTACTGTTTTGTTGGTAAATATACTATATATATAATAATATAATATGTATAATAATATAATATATATAATAATATAATATAATGATATAATATATATATAATTTTACTGTCTTGTTGGTAGATTTTTTATTCAAAATTCGAATTGTATAGTTATTACAGTATTGAAAGTTCGTATATGTTGCTTGCATTCCAGAGATGATATTTCCAAAACTATTCGTCCTACTACCCTAAAAAGCTGACAAAGACTAAGGAATGTATAGGAAACATATTAAATTATATATAAACATGAAATTGTTTTATTCATATGTATTTAGTAGGAAGAAAGAAATCGAAACCTAGTGTTATAGTTTTGCACTATACAAAATTCTAGTTGTTAAAACAAAAGCAATTAATAATGCTAACCTAAAAATCCATGTGTTTAGATGGGAATTCTTGAAATATTTTAATTTCAAATAAGAAAAAAAAGTATAAAATTTAATGAATTTTATCTACAGTGAACTCTCGCTACTACGATATCCGATACAACAATAACCCCCTCTATTGCGATAATGTTTTGTGGTCCCGATGATTTTTCATATCAATTAATGTTATTCTAATCTCAATATTATGATATTCTCTGAAGCAATAAACCTCTGTAAAAGATTTTTTTTTCGAATTTTAACCTCATTTTCTCCATTCATTATTGGTTCTCAAATGAAGTTAAAAATCTTATTTCATCATCTTTTACCGTTTTTCTATTTTTTTCTGTCAAAAGAAGATACTGCAGATGTAACATTCCTATCTGATTTCATTTACTTCATGTTAAAAGCTGATCATTTTATGGGTCACAAATGACCACAAGCATCACATTAACACCTGAAAGAGAACTTTTTCCAAAGAGGGTGGGTGTAGCACTATCCATAAACGAAAATCATTTCGTACTTTGTACTCAATGCATACTTGTTGGTTGACTTAACAGTCAGAAAAATGAATAAATAAACAAAAATATCAGATAATTTCCAATAAAAACGATTTTCAGGTATGTTTCTGATCTTATTTTAGTTTTCATTTGTTATTAATATTTAACAATAATTAACTCTCTGCAAATTAATTTTTTATATAATATATATAATTACAGTTAATATATATATAACATTAAAATTTAAACAAAAATCTTATAGTGTCCCCAGAGTATNGATGACTTTCATGGGGTAAAATTTTTGTTACTATTTGATTATTGATATCTTAAAAATGAACTTTTGCTTTGATATACTAAATATTGAACTAAAATATTCCATGCAGTTTTGCTAAGAACAGATTATACATCTTATTATCAAATAACCATTCTGAAATATTCATTTTAATTAAAGAATTTTTATTTCCTATTTCAATAAAAGTTACAAGTGAACGAACATTTTTGGGAGCTACTGTAATTATAAACTTTATTGATATATAATCAGCTGGAACGGTTTTCCTTTGCTTAATGAAAATATATTAAACACTACTTATCCAAGATTTTATGGGTCATTCTGTTTTTGTCATTTGACAGGTACACTTTGAGCAAAAACTACTTAAAATAACACATTAAATTTAAAAAACAATATATTCTACCAGCTAAACATATTATTTTCTCCACGTGTCAATTTTTTAAAAATTAATGTTGTACAAAAACAAAAAAAAGTCTTGCCAAATTGTCAAAATAAATTATTTTTTCGAAATATGTTAATAAAGTAACATTTTGAATAAAATATTTCATAATATCGACACTTTTCTTGTGTACATCCTACACTTTATAAGAAAGAAAGAAAAAAATACAGGACTGTAAATTTTAAGATTTTAACCTGGAAAACCTGGAAAAATAAGGGAAGTTTGAAATCTGATTTGAGTGGCCACCCTGTTAATTTTTTGAAATGCGTCATTAATGACTTTACTCATGAAATTTTCAGGATTTTTGAGTTGGGCTCGCAATCACCCATGATAGTGTATCCTAGTAAACTAATTCATTTTTTGTTGATTTTTCTTCTTCTAATTTTCTTATTATTTTACTAATTGTACATAGATTGATTTTTCATTTATGGAGTAAATTAACTGTTGTTATTTATTATTGTTTTCTATAACTTATTTTAAGAAATAAACGTAATGAAATTATTTTTTAGGAAATGAATGGACTAAAACTTGAAATAGATGGCATCATTGAAGGTCTCCCTTCATACGAAGAACAGATTGAAGCCAATGCAAAAAATATTGAAGAGTGTGAAAAGAGGTATCATGAAGCAGAAGAAAAGAAAAAAGATATAACAGTAAGATATATTTCCTTCTTTTTACTTCTAAATATATAATTTTTTTGATATATTGTTTGTTACATGTTTTTTTTTACCATGGATTATTGCTCAGGCATTGATAAAATCGATCTAAGGGTCAATGGTTAAAAATAAACGATTTAAGTCTGTATCCATCCAAATTTTTTTGTATTAAATTTTATGCCGAGCACTAATATGCAGAACAAAGCTTAAGTTAAAATTTGTATAATTGAATAAATTAAAAATTAACATTCCAATAAATATTGACACTTAAAAAATAGCTATTTCAAAAATACTTTTTATATAGTCTGTACTTATTTTATGACTGTCTTTACTAAACAATAATAACATGACAAGTAATATTAAATTAACAAAAACTAATGCTTTACATGTTTTTTTTGTTGTTTTTTTTTAAATATTTGATAGAATTACATTATTTTTTTGAAAGCTGAAAAGATTATTTGTTTTATGAAAAAAAAAATTTTTTTTTACGTTTGATGTAAAAGTTTGAGATTTTCTGGCACTTTTGAAAAATTTTTAAAGGAATTTTTAATAAATTAGATTTAAAAATTTCAGATCAAAAAAAAAATTTTTTTACTTTAAACTTAAAATTTTGAATCTAATGTAATGTACGGTACGCAAAATAAAAAAACGGACCACCCCCAATAACTTTTGATCTAATTATCGGGTTTCCATGTTCTAGGACTCATTCTTAATGATTCAGCCTCAAATATGCTAATTAATTAGTACAGATGATATTTTAAGTTATTAGACACAAAAATGTACTTTCTCTGAATAAGCATAAATTTTTTTCAGCGGATATGGGTTTCTGACCCCAAAATATAGGGGGTAACTGCATTCTGGTTTGGTGAGGAGAGCAGTTCAAAGTTTGGACACGGTTTAATTAAGTCATGTTAATTTTACTTTTTGCGTGTTTCACCATATCTTGAGAGCTTTTTAAGTGAATTGAAAAATTTTTGCACACGCTTATAAAATTCGTTGATTCGAAGATAATTCTATGCAAAAATACATTTTATTCTAGGTTTATTATTTTAATTGTTTTATTTAATAACAGTCAAAAAAATTGCATGCCTTAAAATCATGTAAAAATTTGTCTACCTTACAATTAAAGTTTTTTCCCCACTATTATCAAATAAAATAATACAGTTGACTCGCGTTATAACGACCCCATCGGGACTGCCCCTATCTGGTTGTTACATCAAATGGTCGCTATATCAAAATGAGCAAATTTCCTTTGAAAATCGGTCACATAATGGTTTTAAACGTCATAATGCATGCATATACTATTTGTGGTATACATGTTATAAACCAAAAAAAGATAGGATACATACATTAATAAAACATGATGACATTTTAACAATTGAATTACAACTGTTAACAATTAAGAATTTTATTTTAAAGTACAGATTAAAAAACATAGTATGACAAAAAAAAAAATCTAGTTTCTAACGAATTAATTTTTTGATGTACATAATTTGTGGTATATATAACGAAATTTTTTTTTTTATGTACATAATCTGCAGTATTATAAAGAAGAGTAAACCGAGGAACATAAACGTGGCTTCATTAGATGAAGACATTAGTTTTTTGAAGTGCATTAATTTGTTGAAGTTACATGTTAACAGGACTTAACAGAGGTGTGCTTTCAAGGTCAACCATTCAACCCCACTTTCCAATAGGAAGTTAGAAAAGAGCGGTGCTCAAATTCAGAGAGGGTCATTATATTAAGAGTTGACCTTTTTTACGGTCGTTATAGCAAGAGTAAAATAATGTTATCTTTTATGGATGTGAATTGGCACTCCTTCACAGGGTCGTTATATCATGTTGGTCGTTCTATCACAAGGTCGTTAGAACACGAGTCGACTGTATATATATACTAAAATTTATTTTTTGCGTATAACTATTTTTGGATAAACGAATTTTATAAGTGTGTGATAAAACTATTTTAATTTGCCTGAAAAGTTCTTGAGATATGGCAAAATATGCAAAAATTAGCATTAAGGTGTTCAAACTTAGAACCTCTCTCCTGACCAAATTATGGGGACCATACTCGGGTGAGCTCAAACTTTCAAAAGCGAGCCTGATCTCATCTCTAATGTTTACTTAATGTCCAGCTTTTGCCGCCACAGAGAGCTTCTCATCGGGTTAGTGTTTTATAATATTGATTTTTGTTCTACAGGGTGCGTAGCGTTTGTAAAAAGTACTTGAATGTGCTTTTTGGGAGATTTCATTTTTAAAAGCTTTTAAAGGTGCTTTTTTCAGCTGGCGTTTTTAAAAAGTGCTTTTTTTCACGAAATTTTTTTTCTTTCCTTCAGTGATATCTGGCGGATCCCCTGCATTTCACGAAAAATTGGGTGTTTTCTACGTAATCATTCACACGGACTTCATGTCGTACCCACGTTATGATTTGAGCATGCGCGCACACTTGAAACTGAAACCCGAGTGCTCCAATTCGGATAGAGTCAAATCCTTATTAAATGTTTTTCTTTTTAATTTATAATTTTATTCTTGTTTATTTTATTTTACTTCTAACATTTTTTTGATGTAGGGGGTAAGGGTACTTTTGTTCTGAGTTCAGAGTCAAGTTGAATTCACTCAGTGATGTGGGAAAGTACTGATTGTTTCGATTTACGTCCATTTCTTTTTGGGTTTTTTTTAATGCTAAAACTGTTCATAAAAAGTTTTTGTTTTTCAATAATATCATTGATTCAATATGAATTTTTTGAAANTTAAATGTTTTTCTTTTTAATTTATAATTTTATTCTTGTTTATTTTATTTTACTTCTAACACTTTTTTGATGTAGGGGGTAAGGGTACTTTTGTTCTGAGTTCAGAGTCAAGTTGAATTCACTCGGTGATGTGGGAAAGTACCTACTGATTGTTTCGATTTACGTCCGTTTCTTTTTGAGTTTTTTTTTTTTAATGCTAAAACTATTCATAAAAAGTTTTTGTTTTTCAATGATATCATTGATTCAATATAAATTTCTTGAGTGCTTGAAAATTTTTGTAAAGTGCTTGAAAAGTTTTTGAAAAGTGCTTATTTTTGATTAAAAGATTTGGCTACGCACCCTGTTCTATTATTTATGAGTTGTGATTTTAATTGATTTCTTAAACGGGAGTAACTTCTGTCTGTATTTATACGTAAATGTTTATTTTAGAACATTGTTGCTGAACTGTCTGATGTTTTGAAGAAGCAAAAGGCACTTATTAGAGCTCACAATAGTGAGATAACAAAGTTGAACAAAGAAAAAGAAGCTATGAGCAAAAAAATATCTGATGCCCAGTTACAAATGCAGCAGTTAGAGCATGATATTAAAAACTGTGGTGATAATGCTGTTGAAGCACAAAAAAAGGCAATTTATTAATACTTTTTAACACATAAATACTTTATTTAAATTATAGTTGCCAATGTACATATATTTTGCATTTTTAAAATTTTTTTTTTTTAGGAATTGGAAATTGTTATTGAATGGTTTTTGTTATGTTCTTGAAATAGATACTCATTTGCTATAATCACTTTTAAAGTTATCTGAATTTAGGAATTATGTTAAATCAATAATTATTTCCAGTTAATTTTTTGAAAGTTGATTTGATTAATCTAATTCATTATTGGTAAACAAATTTATTGTTCAAAAATTCACACCAAAGACCCTTTTTTTTTTAGATATTTTTTCAGTGTATTTTTTACAGTTATTCCTTAATAGTGTATTCACTTTTGTTAATTTATTTAAAGATTTAAAGCAATTCAGCAGATACTTTGTGAAAATGGATAAAGCAAGCAAAAAAAGTACCACTATCTTGGAATAGTGCAAGTGAATATTAAAATAAAATATTTTTCACCTTTTCTACAAAATGACATTGAATGGTCACGTGCATTAAACATTCTACATTAATATAATTATTTAAAAAAAAAAAACTTGCTGTTCAAAGTTTATTGATGGAAATAAATGAAAAAGAAGTGTTACTTCTGTAATCTGAATATTTTAGCCATCTTAAGTAAGTCATATTTTAAGCCTAGAATGGTTATTTTTTGGTTCTAATTACTTTAGATTATCAGTTCCCAAAACATGGACAGCAGTCCACAAGTGGACACTTGAGTATGGTTTATCCAGTTGCAATTCAAATAATGACTCTCTTATGGAGCACAAGCAATGTCATAAATCTTATGACAGTTTTTTTTAATTTTTTTTTAAAACTTGAATTGCTTCTTGCAGTTTAGCTATTACAGCAAAGTAAGGAAGGAAGGTTAAGCTTATTTCTTTGACAAAAATGTCAGTTATTTGGCAGAAGTTTATATTCTGTAAAAAATAAAAATGATCTGAAAAAATTAATGTTTACATAAGGATAAACTAGTTTTCTGTGCTGGAATGCCAGCATATTGACAACTAATGGGTCAAATTAATTAAGAATTACGCAGACAAAAACATTATAGAAAGAAAAATATTATTTTTTAAAACTTTTTTTTTTAATTAAATACTTTTTGGCTGTTATGATGAAGATTTGGTGGGATTTACTATTATTATTTCTCTGGGATCAATCTTAAAAAAACTAGGTCTGTTTAGAGGCTTCTTATAAAATTCCAAACCTTAAAAATCCTCACATAAAAAACAAAATTTCTGAATTTGGGGTTTGCGAAATTCAAAACTCCTTATACGCTTTTTTTTTCCTTATAGAAAACTTTACTTTTTTCTTTTTCAAAAATTGTCTATTCAATTTGTTTTCTTACAACTTAAAATATGATTTTTATGCATATATTTTTGTGAGAATTAATAGCAAAAACACATTCGATTGAACCAGTACAAGTGAATTGTTATTCAGTAATAGTAATTTTTCATTCAATTAACAGTAGACTAATTAGTTGGGTAGTAAAATAAAGTGTGAAGAATAAATAGTAGAGATAAAAATGAGTTTTTGAATTTCGGAATGATTTAGTGTGGAAAAGTTGTAATAATAGCAAAAAAATTTTAAAATCTGTTAATATTTTCCATTTGCATACTTAAAATTTTTAAAAACTAAAAATTCAAGCCTTTTCTAAATTTTTTTTGTTGATAGTTTGAATAACAATAATAAATTGAGTTCCGATTGATAGTTTAATTTTTTTTCATTCACACAATGTTCTAGAAAAAGATACAAGTTTACCAGTTATTGGTAATTTTTACTTTGTTCATTCAAAACTACCCAGAACTCACCATCTGAAGACGATTACACATTGAGTTCCACCCCACCTACACACTGCCGAAACAACCATTAAATTTTTCGATGTGGTTTTTACATTTTATTTACAACTATGTGCAAATATTTTTTAATGGATTCTTTGACTTACTGCATTGATGAGGCACCCTTTTTTTATATGGCGAACTAAATGAACAAACTTTAACAAACTAAAGCATGTTTATTTCAGATGTTTTAGCCAACTTATAAAATTTGAGAAACTTACAAAATGGTGTGGTTTTTTAAAAATTATTATTAATTGTAAATACGATATGCAAACGGAAAATATTAAGCCATTTTAAATTTTTTATTTTTATTACAATCGGCAATGTTTCTGCATTAATGTGTTCAGAAATTTAAAAAATTCTTTTTTTTTCTCGACTCGCTCTAGTAAGTAGGTTTCAATAACATTGCTAATAATTACTTAAAATTTCTTTAATTTGTAATGTTTAAAATTTTTCTTACTTGTTCATTTAGCTTAATAAATGTAACGAATGTTATGTGACTGTTTGCGTGCAATGTTCCATATTGTTTCCACAAAACAGAAAAGAAATAATGGATTAATCCTTGCTACTTTTGCATAGTGTTTTTGTGATTATGTTTCACTCAAAAAAATTTTATATCACTTTTTCATTGTTGTTGCAGGTAAAATATCTCTTGGACAAGCACAAGTGGATTGACGGACAAAAGAAGTATTTTGGTGTTGCCAATTCAGAATTTGATTTTCTAAATTTTGATCCAAAAGTTGCCGGCCCGCGATTGAAAGAGTTAGAAGAGCAAAAAGAAAAGCTGCACAAAAATGTTAATATGAGAGCACAAAATATGTTATCAACTGTTGAAGATCAGGTAATTAATTTCATTTCTTGAAATTATTAAACGTTTGCTTTTTTTTAATTTTATTATTATTATTTCTCTGTTACTTGTTTTTTTTAAAAATATTTTATGTTCACTCACAATCGCGAAGGTCCTTTTTTCATTGGGTGTTATTAAAAAGTGTTTGATTTTCCCTTTTCGAAAATGAGATTTTTTCTTTGCTGTGTCGATTTTCGACACATATTATGAAATAGCCAGCTTTTCACATCGTTCTATCAACGTTTTTACAATTCATTCGACCACAATCTATTTCGGTGTACTGTCGGTATAAAGAGTATGAAAGCGCCAATCATCTTACAAGTTTGATGAAATACTTGCAAGTCCTCATGTTCGTCTACTGAAGCGGGTTCGGTGAGATTATTAAGCTTTCAAGTGCAGCTCTGCTGCATTTTGCAAGATACTCTTGCAAAAATTTCTTGATCATTTTATAATGATTAATATAATGAAGAAAAGTGTTTTTTGTCAGAAACTAGTTATTTTATATGATCATCTGAAGTCTTTGAATTTTACTTTGCATTTTGTTAATGTATGTAGTCCTTAACAATATTTTTTGAGTGCTTAAAAGGTGCTTATTTTTTGTTGAAAGATTTGGCTATGCATCCTGTAAAATGTGCATTAAAATTTTCCTTATTGATGTTCAATGTAAATGTAATTAATGCAAAACATAAGATGTTAAGTTTTTGATAGTACAACAAAAGTAAGTTTTGAAAGATATTTGCAGATTTTGTAAAAACAAAAAACTATCAAAACTATAATCAAACCAGCAATTACACTGTTTTTTAAACAGGAATGAATTATTTCTTTTAATGCTTTATTCGTGTATTTAAATGGTTTTTTTTTAAAGTATTTAAATGTAACGCAATGAAAGTTTTTGCGGAAATTTTAATAAATGCTGTGATTTTTGAAAAAAAGTTTTATTAGTTAATTTTAGTTGAATTAGTATTAAAAAAATATTTTTAACATTTGTAGTACAAGAATCTAATGAGAAAAAAAGATGTAGTAATGCGTGATAAGCAAGCTATTGAGAATGTTATTACGCAACTTGATGATCAGAAAAAGGTGGCTTTAAGAAAAGCATGTGAACAAGTAAACAAAGTAAGTATTATCTCTTATTGAGCAAATGCCTTTTTTTTTATAATGGAATTGTTAAACTTTAAAAAAAAAAGTGATTCTTAAAGTAGGTAACGGCCCTGTGGCAGAATTTTTTTTGAGCTATCTACAACTAAACTCTCCAGCACTAATATCTTTCTGCAAGATTCTTTAATATTAACGAACATATATGTTACTAATTAAAAATAACAAATATGCTGTGTTTACAAAAAAAAATAATTTTCTTAATTGAACATGTAATAATTTTTTATTCTAATATTATAGGTGAAATTCTCATATTTTGTTGGGGGGAAAACGCACATATTATTTACTTCTTCACATTTTGTAAATAATCATTACAATAATAAAAAAATTATTAAATATCATGAAATCTGTAGTAGTAATAGCTAAAAAAAAGATCTTTGACGAAATCATTTACATTGGACTCCTCAACAGTGTGTTTCGTTTTGAGATTAGGTTGTTGTTATAGTATCGTAAAAAAAAATATATCATATTTAAAAACCATGGAGAAATCAATAGCAATAACTTCCAAAAATTCCATAGAATTATTGCCTTAAAAAATAAATACTCAAATGCAGGATTCGAATTTTTCATATTGTTTGAGATATATCGGGATGTTTAAAAAACATGTGAAAAGCAATATAAACTGTCGAAAATACAATCGAAACCTTACATCGATTTACGATACTTTTGCTGTAAATTGAGCGTGTCAAAAAGTAATTATCTAAATGCATTATTCAAATTTTAAATTTCTGTAAGAAAGAAAAGCAAATTTTTTTAGTTTTCAAAAGAAAATCTTTCTGCAAGAACTCTGTAAAGTTCTGTGACAATGTCGCTCTGTTGTTGCAATTCTGCCACGGGGGATAACAGTGCCTAAATTTAAAAATTTCGAAAACTAGCTAATACTTTTCAACTTATGTTAAAAAAAAAAAAAAAAACAACTTTGTAAATTAAGAATTTAAGCTTGAAGCAATTAAGATATGAGCAGAGCTGGGCTTGCAATTAACAGTTGATCGGTAAATTAAAAGGTCTCGGATCACCATAAAATAAACTATCAGTGATCCTCTTGCCCAGCAATCAATGCCAAGAGATGGTATGTTGTTTTTATATTTTTAGTTATATGTAAATGGTCAGTCTATTTTGTCACAAAATAGTATATTTTCTCATATTTGTGAAATGACATATTCTCTGTTCTGTTAATTTTCATTCAAATTCACTTTAAGCGTACCTGCCAAGTCTCCTGTTTTTTAAATGAAGACTGTATTTTATGACTATCTCCTGTTTACCCATGTATTTTCAAATTTCTTTGCATTTGTTGAAGAAATTAAAACAAATACAGTCAAACCCCGCTATAGTGAACCTTCAAGGGACCGAAATTTCGGTTCACTATAACCGGGAGTTCACTATATCCGTTACGCAGGCAATTTCACTAATGGTTCCCAAACTCCTCCCTTTTATTACACATTATTCATATAAATGACTGAAAAATATTATGTAGTAGCAAAAAATGTGTTATTTTTCATCACTCTTCGTCTTGCGTACAAATAAAAATTTGTAATCTTTAGCTGATGAGCAATCCTCAACATCAGATATGGAAACACTCCCCGACTCTCAGATAATTTTTCCTGAATTTCTGTTATTCCGCTTTCTAAACCTGTCTAAAGCACATAAAAGTAGTTTCTATAGATGGTTTTAAAAATCGGTATATGTATTTATTTTGAAGTACAAATTTCAAAATTATTACAAAGAAAATGGGGGGGGGGAATCAGTCGAAGACAGAAAAAAGTTCATTATATCCAACTTCCTCACTTCTTTGGTTCACTATATCCACTAAAAATAACATTATACGTGTATAGCAAGGCAAGGGACCGAGCATTTCGTTCACTATATCCGGGAGTTCACTATAAGCCGTGTTCACTATAGCGGGGTTTGACTGTATAATAAATTGAAAAATAAAATTTAGACATAAAATATCTGCTGTTGGCAGAACTACTTATTCCTCAATAGATGGTGCTATTGCCAGTACTGCAATATGTTGAGTGTTTATAGTTTAAGTAATTATAAATAATGGTTTAAAAAATCTTTAAATTAAAATTTATATACACATTTTTTACTTCGCTATATGTAAGTGCTTATGTTATTTCCAATTTTGAATTTCTTTTTTTTACTTCGATAATTTTGCATGATGTATCAAAACTTTAGTTGTGGCCTAAAAAAATGTTAGCAGCCTCAATGTTAGCAGGTATGTTTTAAGTAACTAAAATTTAATAGAGGCATGTAAACGACTAGTAAAATGTGTGCTAGTCATATTTCTTGTAGACCAAAAACTTTTCGAATTTCTATCCTTGGTTTGAGTAAGAATGCCTATTGTCATTTTACTTTCTTTCCCAACATACAGAGGGTTGTCACTCAACAGGGAAAACCTGGAAAGTTCAGAGAATATAAAAATTACCAAAAATAACAGAGAATTTTGAGTTTTCTTTTAGAAACTGAAAAAATTCAGGGAATTTTTCTTATTTTTGTCTTTTAAAAGATGGTGACCACTCAAAGTGCAGTTTATGAGATTTACGATATTTAAAGATGATATTTCAACTATACGGTATCTCCAACATTTTAGATTTTCAAATTCATGACTAATTCCAGGAACTTTTCATGACTTAACGAAATTATTTTCTCCAACATAAACACATCAATAAATTTAAAAAAGCATTATAATGACATTAATTGAAATGATAGGTATAACCAAAACAGTTAAACTCTGCATCCTCATATTTATAAATTTTAAATTTAAAAAACGGAGAAAAAAAAAAGGAGTTGAAACAATAAAATAGCTGAAAAAAATACAAAAGCAAAAAAATTTTTTCGCTTTTTTTTTCCTGCAGATTTTTAATCTAAAGATAATTTTCTTGTTCATCGGAAAGAAAAGAAATACTCCTGATTTTTCTGTTCTCATTTTGAAATAAAAAACAATTCGCCAATGACTGGCTTGCTTCATCTAGAATTTTAAATTGATAAAATAAAAATAACAAATAAATAAACAAAAAAATAAACAAAATAAACAAAAAAAAACTCTGAAATAACAGACGTTTAAAAGATAATTCACTCTAGAAATAATGTTTTTTCTTTCATTTTTTGAAAGAACACCATTTTTAAAGAACATGACAGAAACATTTTATATTTTAATAAAACATGACTGTGAGTAGGTGATTTTGTTACAAATTCAGATATTCGGAAAACCATGAAATTAGCAGGAGGGGAAAATCAATTTTGAAAATTCGGTGACCTAAATCCATGGGTTTTTTTTTAAAAAAATAGTTAAAATCATGACATTTCATGACAAATTTTGTTCAATGCCGAAATTCATGACTTTCCAGGTGCGCGGATACCCTGTATCTATTTCATTTACTATAGCATTATTTATGCGTGTTCCTTTTCCAGCAATTAAAACTAATAGATATCGTTAGCGTAATATAGCTCACACAAGAGCACAGTTATTGTTATGTTTCATATTAATATATTGTGTATAATATATACATGGAATTTTTTTTCCAGATTTGAGTGGCAACCTTATAAATTCTTCTTGCTTGCAAACCTGCAATTAAAGTTAAATTTCCCCTGCTTAACTGTGGGGTCTTCATTGGATGAGTTGTACTTTCTCTTTTCATCTTGACCATATTATTCAATACACCAGCTTTTAAAATTTCTTTTATACTCAAATTTTATAGTTAACCCTAAAATACTCAGCTTTCATACTTTTCATTTCTTTTGTGGAGGTGTTTTATCTAAATTTTATAATCGTCATTGAACAACCAACCCAGTTTTTGGACTGTGGGGTCTTCATTGGATGAGTTGTACTTCCTCTTTTCATCTTGACCATATTATTCAATACACCAGCTTTTAAAATTTCTTTTATGCTCAAATTTTATAGTTAACCCTAAAATGCTCAGCTTTCATACTTTTCATTTCTTTTGTGGAGGTATTTTATCTAAATTTTATAATCGTCATTGAACAACCAACCCAGTTTTTGGACTTACGACTATTAGTGTTCAACTCCTTGTAATTTTGAACCCAATCCAGAAGACAAGGAAACTCCTGAATCAAGTATTGAGATAAATTTGCTTTCGTGGAAGACTTTTTGTTGGAACTAACCCACAATTGCGTTATATGGAGAGGAAGACCATGAGAACCTCACACGGTTAGCCTCACGTCAAAGGGACTCTAACCCATGATCCGTCTACTACAGAGGATATTTCACATTAGCACTGTAGTCGGTGAAAGCCGGACGCGGAATTCGTATCGACCAATCATCGCTGGGAATTGCACCCGGTTCACCACATTTTTAGGCGAACGCTCTATCCCTCATCGTTGAACAGCCAACCCAATTTTGGGTTTACGACTACTAACGTTCAACTCTGTAGCCTTGTAATTTTTGAACCAATCCAGAAGACAAGGAAACTCCTGGATCAATACCCCCAGAGGTATGATTCTTTATGGGAACATGGAGGACTTTGTGACTCGACAGATTTAACATGCGCCAGTCACCATTTACTACATGGGGAGTCTTCGGCTGGTGGGGATTGAACCCATGAACTCTTGGAGATGGGCCCTGTGCCCTGCCGACCAGGCTATCCTGACCAAATTATGGAGATATTGGAGTGAATTGATCTTTCATTTCTTTTGTCCTTGAATTGAAGATTCTGAAGTAGTTAGTGTGGTGTTAATTTTATATTTTAAACTGCTGAACTGCACTTCTGAGAAGAACATTGCATTTTGCTGAACAGAGATACTTCACAATTATGGGAAAGATAAGAAGTGAGGGACAATTATTCCAAAATCCTTTTTATATTTACACATGATGTGACTGCAAAAAATTGTAAATTTGCTGTTTTCATCAGAAAGTGTTAAAAAAATCATTAACTATTCCTTGCTCCTGAAACAACTAAAAACATAAACAAATTAAGGCAAGTTGCTAATATTTAGTCATAAGAATATGTGGCTTTAGAACATTTACAATTCTCTTGCTTGTAGTTTTTTTTTATTGAATTAAATTATACAGCATAACATTTTATTTAACTTTAGCTCAAAAATTAATGTTATCTTCTGTAACATTTTCATATCCGAATGTTCCTGAAATATTTTTCTAAAAGGTGTGAAAGTTTTCATATTTTTTCACCAATAATTTTTGTATTATGAGAGTGACAGTGTGTATGGTAAAAATTTTCTTGAAACAATGGTGATAACAACTGTAATAACTTTTTTATTTTATATGTTTCAACTTAATATTGTTGTTTTCTCATGGTGTATTTTTTGAATATTTCACTTTTTTTTTTTTTCAATTTAAAAGTTAAGAAAAAAATCACAATACTGAATTTTATTGTTTTAAAACAATGTAATATTGTATTTTTATATTATTATGAATTATTTCAAGTACAGAAAACTGTGAGAAAATAGCTTTATCATGAGGAAAAATTTTCATTGTTAGGTTACTAAACAATTAATGCTTGATAATATATATACAGTACAGAACCCGTTATCCGGAAATCAGAAAACCGGAACGAAATTCGATAAATTTTCCCGCCATTTCTTTAAAAAAAAAATTTTTTTTCCTCATAAGATTTTAGGATTTTTCTTTCTTTTTTGAAAGATGTTCACCTTACCATCATTTTGGAAATAATCATTAGTGTATTACTTCATCGTTTTTTCTTTTTAAGATTATTTCCAAAAAAAAATTTTTTTTTTTTTTTTAGTTGGGTTTAACAATAAAAAAACGGCTTTTGCAGCGATTCAGAAAACCGGAAAAATCAGTTATCCGGAATAGCGATGGTCCCGATCGTTCCGGATAATCGGTTCCCTACTGTATATATATATAAAGATAGAGAGAATTGAGCTTTGGAGGAATTGTGAACTTATTATAATTGCTTTACTAAAGTAACCATTTTTTTAATGTTCTATACAATAAAAGCTTGATATAACTAGAAGTCTGCTAGTATGACAACTTGACAAATCACTATCAAAATGCTAAAATAAAACTTATGCTTAAAATGAATTAAAAATTACTAAACTTTTGTCAAATTGTGTTTGAGAAACATTTATTTTTGGCCATTTAAGTGAGGAATGCTATTAGAAAAAGGACAAAATGAATATTATTTTTACTAATTTTGGAAATCCATTTTTCACAATCCGGAAAAGTGAAAATTGAATGCATTGAGACCTTATGTCCTGCCAACAATATTAACCCATTATAAAGCAAAGTGGGCTACTGATGGTCAAATTATCTGCTTGCTTCCTAAAAAAAAAATCCTGCTATTTTTGAGAGACTTAACATACCTTTAAAAAAGAAATACACCTTTTTGCTGACCACATTTATTCCTTGATTATTATTGACCACATTGACATTTTATTTCCTTTTAGCAGCCTTCCAGTCTAATTTTGAAATCAACTTTTAAGTTTAATGATGTCAAAAGCTCTTATTTTAGTTTTTTTTTATTTAGTGCTATTTTAACCTTAAGTATGTGTGTATATGCTTATAGCGAGAAACTTGCTATAACAACTATTGTATTTCAGCTCATTTTTTTAGTTTAGTTTTTTTACTGCTATATGAGCATTAAATTTATGTTCTTGCTTATAATGGCAATTCCATTTTCTATTGTTAATTGTTTTTATACTTGACAGCATTTTACTTCACTCTACACAGCATTTTACTTTACTCTGCTATAAAACATACAACTTGTACACTTTTCAGGATTTTGGCTCAATATTCCGAACCCTGTTACCTGGTACGGATGCAAAGCTTCTGCCTCAACCAGGAAAAACAGTTCTGGATGGATTAGAATTCAAAGTAGCCTTTGGAGATGTTTGGAAGGAATCCCTTAATGAACTGAGTGGGGGACAAAGGTAATAGTGTCTTAATGAAAAATATCTGAATATTGCGAGGTCATCTTTTTCTTACAAAAGATGTCATTTTCTTTTAACTTCCTTTCCAATCATTAATCAGTTTGAAAACGTTTCAAGTGTAGAAAACTTCTTTCTAATTTGGTGTGTAACAAAAAGAATACATTTTGTCAAATTTTATCCATTTTTTGTTTTGTTTCATGTATTATTTTGAAAGTGGTATTTTTGTGTAATATGTTCGTAAATTAAATGCATATGATAAGAATTCAAATGAATATCATCATTTAAATACGTGTATTTACAATATAGTCTACAACTTCAATTTCTATTTTTATTTCATATTCGACCTAATTTTAATTTAATTTATATTTGCAACCAGGGTTCGTGATTTTTTTTGATTTTTTTAAAAAAAATCAAAAGAATCAGATTTTTTTGATTTAAATTGGATTTTTTTGATTTAAATCAGATTTTTTTGATTTTTATTCAAATACACTGTAAGAACTTTAATTTATGATTAAAAAAAATTATAAATGTTTAATCAAATTAACTTAATATTAAAACTATGTTGTAACAATATTTTAGAAGCTCTAACTAAAATAATTTTTCATTAAAATACATGGCTTTGAATGCATAGCAACTGTTTTGAAAGAAATGCATGATTAAAATTTAAAGACTAGATTAAATAGAGAATTTAGAGAATACTTCAGGGGTCTGTCTGGGTTTTTCTGAGAGGTACCTATTTTGTGAAAATTAAAAATTATATTAAAAAATCAACACAAATANTTTCACTATTGAAATCCAATGATGCCAAAACCTTTAGAATTAAATTTATATGGTAAATTTTATGCTATATTTTACTAACAGTAAATTTAAGAAATTATTGTGAAAAAATTTATTCTGGAAATTTTGGCATGAAAGAGATAAATTTTATTCCCAATTTTGTCAGACACACCAAATTATCAATGCCTCTTAATATAAATTTAAGTAAAACGATTATACTTTTTACCAGATTTATTAACAACATGTTACCTTTCATATTAGGAATACTACCTCTGCTTTACTAAAATCCGAAAACCTATATTTACTTGAAAATAAACTTATTTTTTAAGGACAAAGATTCAATCAATTTGTACCAAGCAATTTATTCATAAAATATGCATTCTTGTTCCCATTCATATTTGCCTCCTAAAAATCATACATTTTGGTGTATAAATTTATGCAAATTCTATCAATACACTGAGTGAATATTTTTGTTATAATTAAAATATCTTTTTCTTCAGGTCATTGGTTGCTTTATCCTTAATTTTGGCTCTACTCCTCTTCAATCCTGCACCCATATACATTTTGGATGAAGTTGATGCAGCGTTAGATCTGTCACATACTCAGAACATAGGGAAAATGCTAAGAATGCATTTTAAAGCATCACAAGTAAGCTTATGTGAAATATATTTAAATTAAGCAATTTCAAACTACATAAATATTTTTTCTTTCTTTCAATTTTATGACATACGATTAAAGGGGTGTACTTTGGTATGCAGACCAAAGCATTACTGCTGTACAAGGGTTTATTAAATGAGCTTTACCTGTATAAATGCTGAACCAAGGATACAATAAACTGAAGCAAGCATTTTTTAAAAAAAATTAAATATGCTTTAAAATATTAAGGAGTGAAAAACATTTAATATAGAAAATCCCATAGAAACAACTGTTTAGTAAAAAATGTAAATTTTATTTAAACATACCTGCCAAGTCTCCTGTTTTTTTTTTTTAATTAATGAAGTTTTCCATATTTCACGACTATCTCCCGTTTACTTGTATTTTCTCAAATTTCTCTGAATTTTTTAAAAAAATTTAAGAAAACTTTTCTTTAGTGATAAATATACGCTAGTGGCAAAAATACTTCTCTTAATCCTCAACAGATGGCACAACTGCCTGTACTGCAGTTCATGCGCTGCCATGCCAACCAAACTGGGTGTAGTGAGTATACTGCTGTGTTGTGAGAGGTTTATTCAGCAATTTGTTTTTTCCCAGATAACAAACTTCGTTATTTATCTACAGGAATCTGGCAACAATAGTTTATTTGCATCGCATTCTTAAACATAAAAGTATTTCAGTTTTCAGATTCGTTTACTATGGGTGTCAATTGGACCACTAAAAAATTAACTGTATATATATAAAAAGCAGTTCAAAAATATAGTGAATGTGATGTTAGATATCCTAAGCATTCCACATAGAAATGCAGAGTGCTAGAGAATTATGTCTGAAAGTTAAAAAAATTCGCTCCAAATTTTGCTTATTACTTTCTGATGAAAAACTTGAAAGCTTTCTTTTGATGAAAAGTAATTTCTATGGTAACTGTTATGAACAGATCTTTGATAAAAATTTCATATACAAAGCCGAATTAGCTACTTATGTTCGAAATATCAATATGTAAAAATTCTGTAAAATAAAGCTAATTATTTCAAATTATTTTGATGTTGAATATTTATATTATAAGTAATTATGAACAATGTTATAAAAAATATTTTTTAAATTAAGATTTATTTACATATTTTGTACTTTGCAAATTGTGTGTATCAAAACTGTACAGTCAGCCCAAAAAATTTCGTTAGTAAAATCCCTATTACTTTTATTTCTGCAATCTTTGCAGGTATGATTAAAAGTTTTAGTTTTTGTAAAAAAAATTTTAGCTGTTCAAGTACTCTGAATATTCATATTACATGGAGTTAATGAAATAAACTTTTTATCCCTTATAATTTCATATCAAAATGAGAAGCATAAAAGTATGGAAGTTCATTATTTTCTTCTTTTTCTTCAACTTACACATTCTCCCCACCCCCCAATTTTTTAGTCTATTGTCAGTAAATAAAAATAAAGTATGAAATATGGTGAGTTTTACAACCTTAGTTAAGTACGCTTTATGTGTAATTATAATTCAATACACTTTTGATTCTGTAGATCTGCACATTTTTTGGCAATTCAAACATTTGATTGCTTAATTTTTTTAATATTCTCAAAAGTGGTCTTAATCAGTTACAATTAAATTTTAAATGGTTTTTAGGGTTTTCTTAAACAAAATTCTCATTAATCTTTCGTTTATTAGTTTGGCTTTTTAGCACATAGCTTATTTTTTTTCAATTAATACACATTATCAATATTACTTGAGCATTAGTGTCAATAATAATATGCAGATTTTCTACAGTCACCTGAAACGCGAATAAGTACCTTTCCTCCTTATTTTTGCTTTTTAGTTCAGAAATTACTTTTTTTTATTTCAATTAATGCATATTACCAACATATTATCTTAATTAATTCAGCATCATTGGTGTAATTTAGCCCCATTGGTGTGATTTTTAGTTTCTCCTAAACGAATTAATACCACTTTCCCATTAATTTTTGCTTTTGAATACATAATTATTTTCTCCATTCCATTACTGTTGGTTTTAACTGAGTAATTTTTTAGAAGCATGTTTAAAAGAATTAATATAGATAAAATAAGAGCGTGTGGTATCAGACAAAGTATAAATTTGGTGATGTAGACCTTGCGTGCTACCACGTTAATATTCAATGAATTTATCTGACATAGTGAATATAAAATAAGTCAAAACATGCAATAATCTATTTTTTGATCAAATAGAATTATAAGCCAGCAATTGTAACTGATATTATCTTTAAAATATGTGAAAAATTGAATTTTTAAATTTAAAACAATGGCTGAACCAAGCAGAAAATTCCATTTCGTTTTTAGCTCATTTCACTCAGGCGGTTTGTTGTAAATCATTCGAATGTCAACAGTAACCTTTCTCTTCCTTTGAACTATCTGTATGCCGGAGGGTCTCGGAGTCTATAAAGAACACACACAGACATTCATTTTTATATCTATAAATTTTGTTAAAAGTTCACTTTCCTTTTTTTTTTTTTTAGTATGAAACCTGTAATAATTTTTAAACTTAGTGCCTATGTGAAATTCAGATTAACCCACTGACAGTTTAGCAAATGGGCAAAATTGGGAGACTGGTTTCACCACCCCAAAACACTATTTTTCTATCTTTATTAGAACTGCATGGAAAAACCAGTTTTTGTTATGCGGAGAGAACTGCAGGTTAATATACGACTTATTACATTTAAAAGTTACTGAAAATTTTACTTTTTTTTCTTTTTCAGTTCATCATTGTCTCATTGAAGGATGGCATGTTCAACAATGCTAACGTTCTCTTCCGTACAAAGTTCAGCGACGGAATGTCATCTGTAGCACGCTTTGCTCAAAGAGCACAGTAAAAACTTGCTTGTGTTGGAAGATCATTTGTACATTTATCATATATATATATATTGAACAGTTTGCTAATAAATATTTACACACAAAGTCTTACTAATGATATTGTCTGTTCAGAGCTCATAAAATAGACAGAATAAAGCCACTATAGAAGGAAAAAAAAAGTCTAGAAAAATGAATAACTTTTATTAAAAAAATTAAAATTTATAAATTATCAACAACAAACTTCATTTATAGATGTAAATATTCTTTTTATGCACAATTTTAACAACAAATGGTATTTTAAGATTAGGAGCATTTTATGTAAGTAAAATAGATTTGGCCACAAAAGCAATTCATATTGCTCTTGATAACAAGATAACAAATCTCTTTATGTTGACATCCTAAATCTTTTGTAAAAGAATAGCATTGACAATGGAGCCTGTTTTTAGACTATTCTGTTCATCTGTTCTTGGGGGCAGAACAAGCAATGCATCAGCATTCTGCATACTTAATAGGCGACTGCTTTGCTGACTGCCTGTGCTGTGAGCTATGAATGTACTATTAGTCCCGGGTGTTAAGGACACTCTGTAAAATTCTGGTCGTTCATCCAAGTTAACGTCATGCCCCAGCTAGTAAAACAAAATTTTATTCATACACATTTCTTGCATGAAGATAATATAATTGATTTTTGCTTATAATAGTTATTTTAAAATTATAATCAATTAATGGATTGTACAATATGCAAAAATATAACACCCTGAATAACTTTTGATCAAATGATTGTATCTTCATATTTTGAGGACTCATCGCTTTCTAGTTATCAAATTAGACAAAAATGTACTTCTAACAATGTAACAATAAACATGCTTTTTTTACGACTGATTTGGATTCCTTACCCTCAAAATATGGGGTAGCCGCAATCTGTTAAAATTCTATGCAAAAAATTTTTAATAATTATTATTTTTGTAAAGCACACAAAATTGGGAGAATGTTTCTCCCCTACACACAGTTCCCCTATCAGTTAACATGGGAAAACCGGTTTTGCTATGCAAAGAAGACTGCATGTTAAAATGCGACTTTTTACGTGCAGAACCTTCAGTGGGTTAAGGAATTTAATTTTATAACGCAAAATTTAAATAGGAATCAAACTTTAAATATTACTTTCTTAAAATTAGATTTCTCAGGAACTATTAGACTGATTTCATTCATATTTCGCCATATAAAAATACATTAAATAAATAATTGTGTAAAAAAAAATATCCTATTTTTTTTTACTATTATTTAATAAAACATTAGTTAAACAATAAAAGTTACTTTTGGCCTTTAATTTTCTTTGTATAAGCTAATTTAATAATTCTTTGCAAAATTTTTTTGATTCTCTTGAAAAAATTCGAGATATGGCAGGGTTCATAGTTGTTCTAATACTCCTGATTTTCGTGTGTGTTCAGAGAAATATCCCATTTTCTAAGAATTCAATAGTGGATTTTTGAAAAATTTATTTGAATAATGTTAGTAAAAATCTTAAAATTCAATAGTTCAAATTTAGAGACAGCCTACAAATTATATACTTTGTCAGGCATATAGCCTTACATACAGGATTCAATGTTTAAATCATTCATTCTATGAAAAAGAAACCTAATCAACAAAAGAAACTTTACATAATAAAATTTTTATGATGATCAAAATCAGGGATCATATGCTTATTTATTATTTTAAGCCTCTTGTGCAGGCTACCAACATAAAATGCTCTCACTTTCCGGCATGCCAGAATGCCTTCTCACCCACTTGCTGCAATCACATAAGTGTGACAGAATTCTAGAATGTTTTAAACACTATTAAGGTACAAGATGGCATTGCATCACCACATAATTTGAGACACAGTAGATTTGACCTTTTATTTGAAATAAGAAACAAATTGCGCACATGCAAAGATTATTGATTTTACAAAAATGAGGAAGAGGGAATGTTTCCCAATCGCATGCTTTATGACAGCTCTTTAAAATGAATGTGTCATGTAAATTATTAGAGTAAATGAAAAATTTCACATTAGAAAGTCTCATTCATTTTTGTTTTTACTTTATTGAACTATAAATTTAATGAGTCAACTATGCATTTTTCACAGTATTTTTAAGCATTGAAAAAATCAGTCAATAATTTAAAAAATCATTAAATGGTAATAAAAATTGTTTAAAAATTTAATAAAACAAGAAAAACTTAAGTATATAATATAAAGTATTGGAATAAAAAATCTATGCAGTATATGTCGTTATCTACTTTTCTGTAAGTTATTATTAAAACATTCATAGTCAATCAAACACTGATTTTAATGAAGAAATCAAACGCTTCTTTTTGTATAACATTATTTTTAAAAAAAGTTTTATTTTTTTTATTAGTAACTGCAGATTTGTTAAAAATCAACAAGTTTCATTTTATGTTAATCTTGCATACATGAAAGATTTTCAAGAATTAAGTTTCTCGACCTTAATAGCAAATTTTTATAACTCCTTGGTAATTGAATATTATTTTGTAAAAACTATAAGTTTAAAATGTTGTCATTAAAATCAATAAACACTTATATAATTGCTCTCAATAGAAGATAGCAGTTATTTTAAGTTTGGGATTTAATTTAGCCAAAATCTGCATATCTCTAAAATTTTTGAATTATGAAATTGGTTCCAATAAATGCATTAAAAAAACTGGACTAACTTTACAAACCTTCCCCTCTTATTTTAAATTGATTTTAATGTATGTCGATCAAGTTAAAGTAATTTGTGAAATGCCATTAATCTTACTGAATTTTGGACAGTTACAATTTTATTCTAAAAAGTTAGGGATTAGTTGGTGCTGAAATTTAAATATTTAATGAGTTAAAAATTAGAGTAATGCTGGTGGATTTAACTGACAGTTGATTGGAGTTAAAGATTAGATTTAATCTAAATCCTGTGGAACTTGTTCAGTTCTTAACATATAGGCCCGGTTTAGCCTATATGTTTGGAACATCAATGTAAGAATTAAATGGGACATAAGAATTATCTATTCTATGAAGGGTTTTTCTAAGATATATCAATTGGAGGCTTAATCTAAATCCTATGGAACTTGTTCAGTTCCAAACACATAGGTCCATGTGGGCCTAAATGTTTGGAACAACAATGTAAGATTTAAATAATGAGACGAAAGAATTATCTATTACATTACGGATTTTTCTAAGATATACAAATTAAGTAAATGTATATTGCTAACATAATTCTTTTTGGAAACGCGTGGATTTAAACTTAATAGAAATTGATAGAATAAATTATTTTTAGAATACTTGTGAATACAATTAATTTCAGTCAAATATATGTATAGTTAACAATAGGTATAAGTAAAACTCTTGAATACAAAGTTTGTACTCTCTTTGTGGAAATGCTTGTTAACCCAATGGAGAACCTCCTAGATTGTAAGTACTAAATAATGCACTCCCTATTAATTTTATTGTACCCCAATTGCACTTCCTTGTGTGCTTGAACGTAACAGACTATCCTGAGCCACTAACGGAAGCAAGACATGTTAAATTTAGGCCAGCTGCTTAAGTCATATATTTTTAATCGCATTAGGTTATCTAGTTTAAATTAAGTAATAAAATGGTATATAATCATTATTTAAGGATCAATTATAGAAATCACTAATTAAATAACGTAGCTTTATCAATTTTCTTAATGTTAGATTTATTCAGACTCATTTAATAGAAGAGAAGATAATAACAAACATACCTCTACTTTAATATATTTATGTTCTGGCTCTTCATAACCCATTAGTTTTTTGATGCAGGGTATAACAAAAAGATAGAAGCAAACATATGCAGAAACTGGATTGCCTGGAAGGCTAAATATTAACTTCTTTTCTCCATTATACATAGCTGAGGAAAAAGTTGTGGGTTTCCTAGAAAAGTGTTACATATTTACTGAAAATGTGTATTTCAACAGCAGCATAACAGGGTTCCCACGGGTCAGGGAAAACCTGGAATTATCAGGGAATTTTAATTTAACTCCAAAAATCAGGGAAAGTTGCAATTTTTTTTAAAATCAAAACCTGGAATATTCCTTTATCCTACCTGGAAAATAACCAAATTGTCAGTAACAGTAATCAGTTATTGAGTTTTGAGTTAAATAATTCTAACATCTATTAAAATTATTGGTTGTAAAAATTTCAAATTTTAGTCACACTAAAATGTTTTTTTCCTCATTTAATAATATCTTTTTTCATAGAAAATCTAATATTTCACATCACCAATAAAATCTCTGGTCTTCTGATGAAAATATGGTCTCAATTTTCATTGAAATTTACCTGAGATACCTAGAAAAATCAGGGAATTTTTTTTCTAAAATTGAGTGGGAACCCTGGCATTAGCTAAACTGTTGAATGTGCATTTATATTTCTCTTAGTAGTATAACATAACCTGCTGCAACTTAATGTATGGAATTTTCGTTTTTATATAATCTTGTGCATCTAAAAATGAGCTACAACAGATCTCTACAATTATATATAGCTCACATTAAGAGATTTTTTATGGTTTCCTGAAAAACCCACACAGACAAATCTTTCTCATCAACATTGCACAGCCATCTCGCACACAATGTTTCTACATTGCATCAGAAGAATATTTAAAATAAAATGAAATAAAAATTTGATTTTTGACTGTGAAGTGTTTTCTAATGGAAATTCCTGAATCTATTCTATATATTGTTTTAAAATGTTACATTTGCATAGAATATTCATGTTTGTTGAACAATGTTACTATTGACCCAAAATATTTGTCAGATAAGCTGAATATTTATAATTATTATGAATAAGTTGATAGAGTATGGTGAAGAACGACAAAGCAATAAATCAATCAGATAATCATTAAAATATTTACTAATATTGCTATTAAATTACTCAATTAAGTTACTTTGATCACAAAAAATTTTCTAGAAAATTCTTAAATTCTTTCCAAAGGAGATATTTTGACATCTAATAATTACTTGGTGCAGTTTTCAGGTGAGTACTTAAAAATTTCTGGTATTTCCAGTAGATAACACAAATAATTGCCAACTTGGAAATTTTGCTGGTTTTCACCAAAAAAATGTCCGTTTGAATGATTTAAAAAATGTGGCTCATTATTGAACTGCCTCAAAACCATCAATTAAAAACTGAAGTGATATGCGATTTATGCTTTCTGTCATAGAAAACATTCTTATTAAATGCCTATGAGGCATTATAGCGAAATTTATTGATAAGTTTTTTTAAAATTAAATATTGTAATTTAAATAAATATATCTGGTTTTAACCGCAACCCTCAAAAGATCTATTCACAGCAACAATGTAAGATTTAAATTTATAAAAATTAAAATAAAATAAATTATTTATCTCTAAATGGTTTAAAATCTATTCATAATCATAAAATGCAATTCATACCCGGGTTTCATATGCACTCGTCCAAAATGAATCTTTGCATCAAAATCTTGTTGAAGAATGGGCTTTAATAAATCCTAAAAAAAAAAAAAAAAGTGTTCTTGAGGACAGCCNTGACCCTTGTTAACTCCAATTGTGTTATTACCAATCAGAAAGTTGTGAAAAATTATTTTTAAATATTAAAAATCACATAAACACCCTTTAATTTATAAAAATTTGGTACTTTCGAGTACTAAATGAAATGAATTTGTAAGAAATAGTTTTTAAATGATATTCCTTAAAAACATAAAAATTACACTTTTCTATTGTTCCAATTGTTTGGGCAAACCAATATGTGCCAAAAACTTCAGAAGATACTAAACTTTCTTATTACTAAAAAGAGGCACAGTGCTAAAGTTTGCAGACTTGGATTACACACAATATATGATCTATAAGGGCAATAATAACTTTTGAAGAATTTGAAACATAGGAATGAGTTCAAAGTATATCTTGTCTTTTTCAATGTGTGTATATACAGTGGAGCATCGTTTATACGACGATCACTTATACGACGTTTACATTTATACGACGTTTTAGTGTGGTCCCAAATCATTCCTATTCATTTTAATGTAAAAATATATCGTTTATACGACGCACAGAATCGGTTATACGTCGGTTTTTAGATTTTGTTCTTTATTTAATTTTTTATTTTTTCTTGTGTATTTTAAAAAAGGGCGGAATTTGCCAACATGAATGATACAGAAAAGGGTGTCAACAAGAATGCTTGGATGACGACCGTAATTTTTACTAGATGACTGAAAAAACTAGACAATGTTATGAAGAGGCAAAAACGAAAAATTTTGCTATTCATCGACCAATGTCCAGCGCACCCATCGATACTAATTATTTTGGAAAATGTAAAAGCTCTCTTTTTTCCTGCAAATTGCACAAGTGCGCTTCAGCCATTAGATTTGGCCGTGATTAGAAATCTAAAATTGCATCATAGAAAGCAGTAAGTTCAACTCGCTATTCAAAGCATTGTAGAGACTAATAGCAAGAAAATATAATTAAAGGTAACATACATTCAAATTGCTCACTGCAATTTTTCTTCTTTGGTTATTTGTTTGTTTTGCTTTGTCTAATTTAGAAATTTATGTAAATCAACACGTTAAACATTAAAATTAACTGAAAACAGAGTTAGTTTCAGTTTTAGAAGTAAAAATCGATTATACGACGTTATCGTTTATACGACGTTTTTCGGTGGTCCCTTTGGCGTCGTATAAACGATGCTCCACTGTATTTATATAAGAAGAGGTTAATGGAATTTTAATATGAACTACAGTTTGAATGGGTCTTATGCGCACAAACAGCAAATTAAAAGTTTTAATAAAATATATTTATCAAAAAAAATTATTCTTTAATATGTTTATGAAAAACGTCATAATTTAAAAAGTAATAAAATATTTTTTTGTGAAATTGGATAGCCAAGATAGATAAAATATTTAAAAAAACTCTATAAATGACAAGGACTTAATTTTATAATAGATTAGATATTTGTGCACCAAATTGAAATTTGTGTAGCAAATTTAAGATGTTGTATTTATTTAGAATTAATCAAATAATTAATAATAAAAAGTAATTAAAATTTCTTTAAAGTAAAATTATTTTTGTGCCTATGGGTTTCAATAAATAATATCCTGGAAATCATAAAGGAGGATGAAACAAATTATTAAAGGAAAAGAGCAATAAAATAATACTTTATATCTTAAACTTTGAGCAATGCAATGTGTGTATGATTTGGGGCTACTAAAAAGACACCTATTTAAAGGTTCATTTTAGTTTAATACATACATATAGCTAAATATCTATCGTGGGGTTCTCAATTTGAATTGGTACAAATTAATAAGTAAAAATCTTTTTTTTTTTTAAATTACTTTTTAACAGGGTTTGTTGATTTAAATAAAATGATTTTTTTAAAAAATCATTGATTTAAATCAACTGATTTTTTATATATATATATTGATTCAAAAGTTAAAAAACAGTGTTTCAATTATTAATACTTTTATTACTTTCTTTTCTTAGTTTTAAAATTTATTATAATAAATTGCTACATTAATTAATTTTAGTTAACGAAATTACTTTCTTTCTTGATATGTGTTAAATTCCAACACATTTGAAATTCTATCTATCTATTGATTCTTGAAGAATCTATTGATTCTTGAGATTGAAAGTACAGATTAAAGTAAACATTTAATGCTGTCTTACAGACTTGCACAGCTGTAGAAAGTAAATAATAAACATGATTTTTTTTTTAAAAAAAATGCAAATAATGTTAATTAAAATTCTACCTTTTAATTGAAAAATCATGGAATTAAAATCTAAATTATATTTTATTATAATCTAATTTATTGATGTAGGATTAAAAATGAATATTTTAATATAAAAATATATAGATTAAATATTTATTTATTTTTTGATGAATGACTATATTTATAAACACAATCTGTTACATTTATTTTGTCATTTTAAAAATCAAGAGGAAAAAAAAGAAATCATAATTTTAAATTAAAATTATGGTTTGCTAATTGAAACTTTGCTTTAATAGTTAAAGTTAGCGTTTAGCGGTACCTTCACAAATTCAACTTTAGGAAAAACTGTAGAATAATTTCACAAAATATTTTTTCTTAAAATTTTATTTTTGTGTCTCGCAGGAAACGATAAATCCATGCTTTTACAATATTTTTGTGTTGATTTTTTAATATAATTTTTTATTTTCACAAATTATGTCTACATTTTCACGAAATAGGTGCCTCTCAGAAAAACCTAAACAGACCCCTGAAGTACTCTTTAAATTCTCTATTTCATCTAGTCTTTAAATTTCAATCATGCATTTGTTCTAAAATGGTTGCCATGCATTCAAAGCTATGTATTAAAACGAAAAATTATTTTAGTAAGTTAGAGCTCCTAAAATATTATTATAATATAGTTTTAATGTTAATTTAATTTTGACTAAACATTTATAAAGTATTTTTAATCATAAATTGAATTTCTTACCGTGTACTTGAATAAAAGTAAAAATATCTGATTTAAATAAAAAAAATCCGATTTAAATCAAAAAAATCGGATTTTTTTGATTTTTTTTAAACAAATTCAAAAAAATTACGAACTTTGCTTTTTAACTTAATTAAAAAAATTTAAAACAAAATAAATGCAAATAAAATTGAGACTTTGCATAAATTAAAGATTTTAAAAACAAGATACAATGAAACCTCCTGTTACGGACACTCCTACAAAACGGACGCCTTTTAATACAGACGTATTTTTAATTCCCTGTGAATATTCTATGAATAAAACCATTATGCACTTTCTCTGTGAAGCGGACACTCCTGTAAGAGAATGTGGACGATGATTTTTGCCCTGTAACAGTATTTTCTATCTTTTCAAACCGGACACCATTTTTTTCTAAATTTGAAGAGAAAAAAACAAAAATTTCTGCTTCACATTCCAAGAAAAAACTAGGCAATTTTAAAGCATGTAAATTTCTTTTACCTTATCCATAACTAAAAATATTATTAAGCTATTTAACTACTAAAGAATTCATCTTTCTCTTGTCACCTTGCCTTATCTTCGCAAAGAGAGGAGAGAAAATGATACTGATCGTGTAAAATAATTCAGACAGGGGCATCTTTTCATCAGGACAACGTAGGTTACGAAACCTCACAAGCTGAAATGACATGCTCTCAATGTTTTTCCCCCACTGAAATTTCTTATCAATTTGAAGACTATATTTAACAGAACTGGGTTAAAAAAAAGGAACAGAAATATAGTCTTTGAGGTGATCATATAAATGAAATATTTATTCTGACACTTGAAAGATCAATTAATAGTGAAAGCAACTCCTGTCTTACAGGTGCTTTCTTTTTTTCTGCGAATCACGAGAGGTTTAATATCAAGTGATGGGTAGGTGTTAGGGGGTGTAAACCTAATAATTGAAACCGATTGAGGACTTAGAGCTCCTATTCGGTACAATACGACTAACTTGAATATCCATGTTAATAGGAAAATTATATACATTTATACGTAGCTACATCTAGAATTATGTATTTATATCAAACTTTTTCATACATTTTTTTTGCTTATATAAAAAAATATTTTTTAAAGTTTAAATAAATATCCTTGTAGATAGTTATTGTAGATTATTTATTTGTTTCTATATCATTGAAAATATTCTAAAAACAATTTATGGTGTTAAACTTCCTTATTAGGGTACTTTTCTTATGAACGGACAATTTTTTTCAGTCCGAAGAGTGTCCGCTTAACTGAGGTTTCACTATATTTTCTTCTGAAAAGATATCTTTCGTTTAAATTTTGTGCAACAAACTTACTTTTTCACCCATTGAAACTGAACCTGTAGAGACAATTATATTTGCTGACTCCATTGCGTGCACCAAGTGGGATTTAATGTCATCAGCTCTGCAATAGAAAACAGAGCAAGGTATTCATAAATACAACAACTCATTTTGAAAATTTTATACAATTAAATATCAATAATTATTACATTAATATTAACAAGCAGTTTCAGAGCTTAAATTAAAATTATTGATCAGAGTGTGTAGCCAGATTTTTCAATAAAAAATAAGCACCTTTTAAGTACTTTTTAAGAACTCAAAAAATATTTTTAATCACTTTCCAAAAAATAAAACTTATTTCCTTCTATTGTTTAAAGTTCTTAATTTATAAACATAAAATCAATAAAATTTAAAAACCTTTTCAAAAACTTTACATAATTGTGTTAAAATAACTAGTTTCTGATAATTATTGCAGAGAAAATTGTGAAAATCCTGAATTTTTTTTGTAAGTTAGAACGGCAATCGACACTGAAGAAAAAAAATTCTATTTTTAAAAGATAGAAAATAAGCACTTTTTACAAACCCCAAACAAAAAAAAAGCATCTTTAAGGGCTTTTAAAAAACGTAAATCAAAAATTAGCCCTGTTGATACTAAAAGGGAATGTTTCTAAAAATTATGGAATGAAAAAATTGGCCCATTATCTAATAACCAAAAATACACCGAAACTAATATAAGTTATCTGAATTGAAAAAATTCTAGATTCAAAATAAATAAATAAAAAATCTAATACAAAAAAAAATCTAATGATTTAGCCTGCAAGAGACTATTTAAAATGTTCAAGTTTTAATTTAGATTCATAAACTGAGATCTTCCTATTTTAAATTGATGCAAAATAAAAAAGAAATATAAAAAACTAAGAAAAAAAAACAATTATTAAGTTTGCATACTTAAGGGAAACATTTTCAGGCTAAACTCACAAAATTTTTGGACATTTTTACATGTGTTGGAATTTTACAATTTGGCAACCTATATTTTGGGATAAACCATATCCAAAATATAAGTTGCCAAATTGTATTAGGAGATGAGTAAAATACTATTGAAAGTCTGGTTATATTTATCAAAATCATACAGTTATCAATGCTTGGGTATCTTTCATTTTTGAAAAAAGAAAGGGAAATGAACCATCATATCACTTCGACAATAGAAAATGCATTTCATATGCAGAGATGATTCTGCTCCAGAAAAAATCCAGATTTTTCGCTAACTGCGATCCGGAAACCCGAAGTCCAGAAGTTTAAAAAAAATGCCGATCACATTTATGTATAAAAATTCGTGTATATTTTATTTAAAAATATTAGAACTAGAAATTATACTTCGTATCTCTTTCACTTGTAAATATTTTTTCTGGTAGAATAATAAATATGATTTGAGACAAAAGTAAATTTATAAATAATTATTCATTTAATTTTCATNAAAAATATTAGAACTAGAAATTATACTTCGTATCTCTTTCATTTTTTCTGGTAGAATAAACAATGTGATTTAGAGATAAAAGTAAACTTATACAAAATTATTCATTTAAATTATGCTGCATATAGCTTATTTAGAATTTAATGTTTTGAAAATATCAATGATTTTATTCGAGAAATGTTCATGATTTTTGAGTTGGGCTCACAATCACCCCAGCATATGTACCCAGTGTTGTATAAAAGATAATTGATGCCAAAAGATTACATTTTTAAAAGTTAAAAACATCGCTAATATGAGCCTCATAAAAGAATTACAAAATGCATATTTTACACCAGCTAGATTGTGCAAATATGTTGGATGCGCAGCCATTACGTTAAAGATGAAATTATTGGGATATTCAAAATATGTATGATCAGGAGTGACATGAGTATATCAGGGTTGCCACTCCACAGGGAGAACCAGGAAAATACAGGGAATTTCAAAAATAACAGGGATAATGCAGGGAATT